AAGTGTGCCATTTTTAAATAGGATGTCTGTAATAAAGGTTATAGGCTAGAGAGTTCAGATTTTTGGTCACTTTTTTGCAAAGCCAATTTTCGAAAATAAAAATAAAATAAACTTTAGACTGAAATTATAATAATTTCTGCAAGGGTATAAAAACATCAAAATATATATGTTGAATGCTTGCACTTACCTGTTGTGTCACCGATATCACCGTCAGAGTTAGGCAGTCACCGCCGGACTTGATTAGATCCACGACCTGTTTGTGTGTGGCTCCCTCCACGCTGACGCCATTTCTGAAAAATTGTAGAAACCAACATTATAACATTATGGGGATATTATACATTACATTATATATATGGGGATATACTATGGGTCCTATACGAAATACCGCACCGTTGCAAGCGTTTCTCCAAAGCAGTTAACTGCGAAAACTGAACAGAATGAAAAGGCAGCATTCGGAGTGAAGTGGAAATCAAGAATGGAAACGGTTCTGAACGATCGCCTCGGGCGAATTAAAGGCGTTGCCGACGACCGCAGATCAATTTAAGCGAAAATAATAACAGTGGGAGCCCAGAGATAGCGCCGATAATGGATGCATTGACATCGGTGAAGTGTTGATAAGGCGGGGACTCTGGACAGACAGTAGACTCGATCCGATTCGATTCGGGTCAAGTTGGAATCACGTCGAGTGCTATATCGTATCTATTTAGGATCGAAGCTTTCGATTGCACTTAAAGATTGATAGACAGAGGAAAAGATAGGGGGCAAAATCAAAAGGGAATTTGTAAAACTAATAACCTCATTTTAGTGATAAGAAATTAATTGAAATGTAATAAAAATAACAAGGAAAATTAATTCGAATTTAACCCATTCGGATCATAAAATCTTGCAAGATTGGCACTTTAAAAAATATCCTTATATACAAGATCTAATGAAACAGAACCGAGGCTATTTGGTGGTTAGAATATAAAATTATAGATATAGGGTAGTTAGGTAAAATCTTCCAATTAACTTATAATCTTATGATTCAAAATTTGATATAAAACCCCTAAATCTTCTAATTAACTTATAATGAAACAGAGTGGAGATTTATATATAGAAAATGAGATAAAATATTATTACATTGCATAGAATACCACAGAATCAAGCCAATAAAATAGGGCACAATAAATTGCAGCCGCGGAAATTAAATGGAATCACAACAAGTAGCACAAATGTTATTTACACGACCAAGAAATCAAGTGGATGGCAATAAAAGGGAACAACGAACGAACGGGCTTTGATAAGGGCAAAGTATCCACCCCACATCCACATCCACATTCACATGAATTCCGAGCTTTTCCCGAGTTCCTCCACTTCTCCGGAGGAGTCTGCGTCTTCTTTCCGGTTTGCAATTTGCCATCCGTGCCATCCGTAAGTAAGTAAATAAATAAATTGCAGTAGAGATATCGCCACAATGTGACGCACTCTGTGGAACGCTCGAAAAGCTCCAGAGAGACCAGCGTGACTCACATAGCAACATGTCAGAAATCCAGAAATCGGGGGGACCTGGCATACCATAATACACCAGCATACAAGTATAATGGCCGATAAACCGGGGGCGAAGTGGAGAGCCGGAGGAGAATGGCAGGAGACAGGCGCAGACAGCTGAAAGCCTGAAACTGAAACTGATACCAAGACAAGGAGAGACTTTACTCCACTCCGGAAACCTGTTTGCAATGGAACCCAGACACTCTCGGTAAAAATAGTTAAAACAAAAAACCAAGACAAAAACACACAAAGGCAGAATACGAGAGAGAAACACAAAGCTATCTATGCATTTATTTATAGTCAAATGCAAATGCCTTTCCCTCTTAATTGTGTCCGACAATATGCGGCAAATGTTTTCTTGTTTACGACCGACTACTCAATTTCCATTAATTGTTGTAACCTAACTTTGAAACATTTCAACTATCTTTGACTACATATTAGCAGTGTGGTCTACTGTGGGTGTTAATTGTGGTAAGACAGCTAGCTAAATAAAGGCCAAAAATAGGCGCGAAAAGCGTGTAAATTGGCGCACAGTGGGACAAGCTGGCGTCGCATGTCGACCGCACAGTGGGCGTCCACCCACAAATTGTGACATGTGAAACAACATCTGGGGGCGTTGTGGCTTGTATTGTTATTACTAACTCCTGAGGGCATTTATTCTTTGCTCACACACCATATCGATTGGCATTTGCCTGCCTATTTTTAGTTTTCTCCCGAAGCTTTTATATTTTCAACTTTATGCTAAGGTTTTTAGGTGAAAAGGCCAAAAAATAAATAGTCCCATATAACATCTTTAAGCTCTAAGTTAACCCAGAATATGTAATATTCTATACTGTTTTGATTGACTTAAACTCAAAGCCTTTTTAAATCATTTAAAATTATTTCAAATCCTAAATGGATTTCAATTTTCAGTAAAAAACAGTTTTTCACCATAAAAGTATTTGAACATAAATACAAACAGATTTCAAACCACTATATAGACAAATCTCGAAACCTTTACACAAAAACAACCAACCAATTACCATTTCGAAGTATCAGAGAACAGTACAAGGTATCTCCCAAGTTGATAGGACAACGCAACTATCTTAAGCAAATACTAATGCGATTTCTATATTCATTTCTGTCAATGTTTATTCGCGATTTGTGTGTTTCCCTCCAGCACTAATTGGACATGGAAATGCGACTGTGCTGTGGTATATATGGGTTTTACGGGGAATGCAATTGTTTAAGTTGAGCAAATCGAATAAATATTTGCCAGCCCCGAACGAATAATAGAATAAAAAAATGTTTACATACAGATTTTTAATAGTTGCGGCGCGAAATGCAAAGATAATTCGCATATAGGCTATCGAGTGGGTTTAAATATCTAAAAATATGAAGAGAAAATTTGAAGAGGAAAATATATATATCCACATAATTACATATATCCCCCTGGATTCGCAACCAACGAACAAAGCTTTGCCATGCCCAGCATTCTGCATTGGATGTTTATATTTAATTTACCTTGGACACGTACTCGCTTGCAACTGAAATGTAATTCCATTAACGGGAATGGAAATCGAAAATTAATTAAGCCCAACAGGAATCCAGTGGAGGACTTGACATGAGTCCTTCCATTGCTTAATTCTCGTTTTCTGTTTCTCTTTCTGTTTGATGTGTTTTCTCCCCCTGATTCGAAATCGCCCCCTTACTCATTTTCTGTCATGTTTATTTCTGGCTTAGTCCGAATGAAACCGAAAAGTGAAACCTGAAAACATGAAAACCTGAAAACCTGAAACCGCCACCGAACTAAACTCGGGGTCTCTAGGAAATGCGGAAATGTGGGCCAGCCAGAGCCAGGCAACCAAGTCGAAACAACAACGACCACATCGCACTCCCCATCCAATCCGAGTCCATCCAGTGACGTAAATCTATTGATTATTGTCGGGGCATATGCCACAAACCACCAGCAACAACAGTAACAACATTGACACAGAACCAAGCCGCAAACACAAATTCGTGGCAGCATAAAAACACATGCTGGACGGCCGACTTCGAGGCAAAGGTCTCGATCTAATAATACCCAATAAAAATGTTGTTCAAACTTTGGCTATTTACACTTTTAACAAATAGTATAATGTTTCTTTGAGATGAAAGTCTCATTCTGTGACTTATTTTGGTTTTAAAACTATACATACATAGATGTGATAAGCAAGGAAATACAAATTTTACATAATATTGGAATGCCCATACATCTATTTTGATTTAAAACTTTATAAATTATATCTATTTAAAAAAAGTAAACAATTAACATTTTCACATTATGTTGAAACCCCTTATATCTGCTGATCCTATCTTGTTTCTAAACTATATTTTATAGACAGCTGGACTATAAAATCCAATCAAGCTTTAAAATTTCAAGCCATAACTACACTTTGATTAAATTATTTTTATTTTCGGTATCACGCAAGTTCATAACATGTAAAAAATTTGGTAACTCGATCTAACACACTATTCGTCTTCTACGTGGTTCATGTGGTTGGACAAAGACGTTTAGTTTATATGCTGGCTACAAATCAGCTAATGACCCTTCAATAACTCAAGCCATATGCCACAAAAACTCATTTGACCCGTGTGGCAAGTTTGAGTTGGGAAATTGTCTGCCACTTGCGTGTTTAAAGGCTTCTTAACACTCAATTTAGTTTCAGCCTGAGAGTATAAACTTTAAATTGTTTGCTTAAACTTGTACATACGAAATACGTACGTATATGTATATATTTGTCAAGGGAAAATACCTTGGGAGTAATAGGATAGGAAGCGCAGGAGTTGAAAAAGAGGGAAAAGAGGAAAAAAGTGAAGCAAATTTCCGGCTCAAGATGCAATTGTTCCTCTTCGTTTCAATCAAGTTCCCTTCTTTTTTATTGTTTGCTATACCCGCAAAGTTGTTCTCGGTATTCTTTGGATGGATTTTTTCGTGTATCTTGATACACACTGGGAGAATAAAGTTTTGCATAATATAACAAGGCCGAACAAAATTGCCGAATGATTAAATTAACGCTGAGTTTGAACATTTCTTGAAACTATTCAATTTTTAAGCCTAGTTTTTATCAATAGACAAGAGTTTTGTGTGTGCTTTCACCAAGCAATTTAAACTAAACAACCCTTGACTTTTTTCCATTTTAAATTCTTACGAATGTCACGTTTAAGAGGACGGGAAATGACCATATATTTTCTCATTTTATTTTATTGTTATTCATTTAACCACTTATTTTAATGTTTCTATTTCTATGTGTGCTGGCATTGCTGTTGTGGACTTTAACGAGAAGTGCTAAGAAAGCGAAACGAAAGGCGAACTGAAAATAGTTCATAATCCCCATTGATTGAATCCCACAACCTGAGAACAACCAACGACGACCTCCCACGACCAAGTACAATGTTAAGGGGACTGAGAGATGGTCAAGTGCAAGACGTGCACAAAAGATGCAGATGGAATATGGCTAGAAAAGACTGTCTGGGGTCCTTGGGGTCCTCAATTATGTCATGTATCCAGAAGTATCCATTCAGTGTCCCGTTTTGTAGAGCAGTCTCAAAAGGCGACTGTTGAAAAGGTTCAGCAATTCATCAAACCCTCTTCAGGATTAGCCCAAGGGTCAATGAACCCATCCTTTTCGTCCTTAGGCATTCCATTGTTCAGTGGCAACGGGAGAATTACTTGACAAGTCCAAGTTCAATTCAAAGTGCATTATATAGTTGCCCTATTAAATCACCCGCAAAAGTTCAACAACTTTCAATTATTATCATGCCAAATACTAAGTGACTGCCTAACCGACATAAGTAATTGATGGCCCATTTTCTCGTTGAAATGAATTAGGTTTCATGTATGAGTTAATTCAGTCAACAAAGTTGAGACGTAGCAAGTAGCAAACACACAAATTGTCCAAGGAATTTATTTATTCACTTTGAATGCCCAATGTGGGGGGTGTCAAACTTTCTTCGCAGCAATATGGGTTAAATTCACAGGCAAATTGTATTTTCTTTCAACAAAGTTTATTATTTTTAATTGTCTAATGTTTCGGGAGGCAAACGGCATTAAATTGATTCTATTCAATTTCACAAACTATGCCGTTTATTCCACCTCCAAAGTGTTAGTTCTCGTATTTAGCATACGTTGAACGCAAATAAATGGATCAATTGGTAAACAATACCTTTAATTGCTATGAAAAGCAGAGTGATATTTTGATTTTACAAGCGCACAATCAATTTGAGGTATCTAAATCAATTGTTGTAATGGTTTCAAATTTCACTAACCTATTAAATTTTCACGGATCAAATGTTTAGGTTTTGAAAGTGTCAGCACTTGACGAGTGCCATCTGCAATACAGACAGAACCCACATAGAAATACCCATTCAAAAACTTATCCTGTCCAATCAGTGCGAACTTGGAACCACTCGAGATTCAAAAGCTAATCTAATCGCAGTATGGCCTGCATTATTCTTAGCCAGCTAGTTCTTTGTCCAAACAGTCTGACCAGCAATTCCAAACCGATTACACGATGGCTAGGAGGGAAAAATTGGATTCCCAGGTGCTGCTTCTTATGGTGGGTGGACTGCTCATAATGGGATTGACTATAGTAAATTCCCTGGAATGCTATGCCTGCGATTCCGCCGAGGATTCGGAATGTGCCACTCGACCGGGTCAGCAATTGGAAGTGGAGGAATGTTTGCAGACCGGCGACGAGTGTGTCACCTCGATATCTGCGGGACTAACACGACGCGGCTGCCTGGCCCGACTATATCCCAATGGCTATTGTGCCGCTCCGTGTGACAGGTGTAACACGAGTCTATGCAACCGGCACGTTTATCCCACGGATCGCTTGCGATGCTATCAGTGCAGCGGATCGGAGTGCATCGATGTGACCAGCAGACCACAGTATCTGCTACCATGTCCGGTTTATCGGGAGGATGACAGGTGCTACACGAACGTAGTGCACTTATCCAATACCCAGCGTGGTTGTGAGCACACCAATCTGCCAGCAACCTGTCCGCATGTTTGTTTGAAGTGCAATTACAATGGTTGTAATGTGGAGAAGACCGTCACGGAATCGCGTTGCCTCCAGTGCACCCACAATCGACTGGCCCCCAATCCCGATTGCCTGCGGGATCAGGCCCCGGAGGATCAACCAAGTTGCTCCTTGAGCAACACAACTGTTGCCCATTGCGTCAACAAAGTGATGTACGGACATCGGGAGAACTGCTACAGCTATCGGAATACCCAAACGGAGGTCATTCAAAGGGGTTGCTCCACAACGATGGGTTTCTATCCCACCGGCGATTTGAGCGAATGCCACGGCGAATTCTGCAATTCCAACTGCCAGGATATAGTCTGTGCCGTCTGTAACTCCACCGCGAATCCGGGTTGTCGGGCAGGACGCAATCTGCCAACCGAAAAGTGCGCAGCGGGCACCACGGCCTGCTATTCCTGCGAGCAAGGTTAGGGTGAGTGGGTGGTTCCGGGGAATCAGAGCTGGGAATACCCATAAAAAGACCCACTGAGATAAACAGCAATGCTTTCTTATTTTAATTTGGTATTATATCTATCAATAGACCAATCCGAAACATTATTAATTCTTTTTTTAATAAACTTCGGTATTATACCATAAATCATTTTTAAAGAGTTTTAGTAATGCGGAAAAGTCAGAGGATATTCTTGGTTTAACTTTAAAAATATTATACATATGAAAATATAGTAAAATCAAAAAAAGTCATGAACAGTCAACGACGAATAGTAACATATTTATTTTTCGACCAACATAAGAAAATTGTAATTCAATTATAAATTATATTAGTACTAGAAAGAAAAATAATATTTAAAACCTGAAATATGTTTATGTTAGACAAGACCCCTATTGTTACTTGTAAAATCCCTGACAATCCAGAAACCTATATAAATGTTCCCTGTATTTATGCAGATACCTTCCTGCGACGTGGCTGTGCGGATGCGGACTTTGCGCCTTCTGCCCTGGGTGACAGTTGCCAATTGTGTCGGGATGCTGATTCCTGCAATCGCTACTCCGTGCGGAGCTGCTATCGCTGCAATGCACAGGACAAGGATACGGATTGTGCGGCAATGGATTTGCCTACGGCGATGACTACCAGTAATTGCACTAGCTCCACGGAGCTGTGTGTAAGCACAGTGGTTAGTCGTCTGGATGGGATCTATACGGTGCGAGGATGCGAGGGTCAGGTGCCGGAGTGCTCCGCAAATGATCCGTTCTGTGTCCGATGCAATGGAAGTCTGTGCAACGATGCACCCACTCTCTGGAGGCAAACACAAGTCAATCTGGTTTCAAATCAGGATTTGCCGGATAGCTGGTGGTCACTACTTCAGTACTGGTGGTCCAGGAAACTCCGATAGTTCCAGGCAATAAAGTGTGGTGGGAGAGTGAACTAATAACTGATGATAATGGAAGTTTGGCAGCTGATAATGAAATGAGAGGAACGCCCCCCGAAAACACACATTTTCTGTGAACCAATACTCTTCTGAGGTCCAAGTTCTATGAATACTGATAATAATCTGACATCCTACAAGACGGTTATAGCTTGAAACATGCATAACTCATATCTTTTGATACTTTTTAAATAATAAATTTAAATAAAAAAGTAATTTTTTACAGCTTTTAAACATTAATTGATTGACAACTTGTGAATTAAATTACTGAAGGAATATTGTATGTATATTATTCTTGTTTCAAATTTTTTCGAATATTTTAATTTCTTTAATTGAGCAAATTTGCCTGATTTTTATAACATCTAGTAAAGTATACAAAAGTAGCGGGATTTAAGCGCTTGGTACCAGTTGAAAACTGGTTCGCAAAAGGCGGAAACCAAATGCAAATTTGTTTGCTTTTGCTTTTTGCTTGCCCTCTGCAGTTTGTGTTTTTTTTTGTTGCTTTTGCTTTTACTTTTACTTTAGCTTGTGTTTCTGATTTTCTGCTTTTGTTAGCTCACGCGCAGCCAAATTATAACGGCTGTCCGTCATTGTTGTTGTCGTTTTCACTGATAATGAAATGATGGGCACTGCAAATAGCAACAACAAGCCCCATAATAGACGAGCATGACCCCCCTCGCCCGTCTCCGTTTTTCCACCCACCTAAGTATCTCTTATTTTCACGTCACACATTCTGTTTGCAATGGAAAAGTGTGGAAAATTTGTTAGTTTTTCGTTGCCGACGAGAAGGTAACGATGATAATTAAGTTGTTGGGTGCTGGAGCAACGAAACATTAGCAAAATTTATTAATTGAATTTCATCTCGAAGCGGGGATAGTGGATGATGAAAAGAGTGAGTAAATACCGCACCCACGAAACGATGAAAATGAAACTTTATGAGTACCAAAATACAGTAAACACTCCTTAAAGTTACATTTTTTTGAGGTAATCAAGACACATATTTTAATCCGAATCGGAAACGCATTTTTTTATTTTTCGTGATGTATATTTTTGAAGAAGGTTTAGTATTTGTTTTTTTATGAAAAGTCAATATTTTATTAGCAACAATTAAATATTATAGGAGATCAATCACTTAAAAAGGCGGAATTTGGATTTGATTTCGAAAGATCAAATACAAAGTCCAATTAAATTTATATATTGGTTATAATATTGATTTTAAATTATTGGAACATAGTAAAAACCTTTGTTCCTCTAATTCACTATTGCCTGAGTTGACTGTGCATACAAAAACGAAATAAAATAAAATGGTTGATGGACAACCTCGAATGTGAAGGAAGGAAAAGAGGGAGAGGAGAAGCGAGAAGGGCAGCTCACTGATAACGGGTATCGAAACTAAAATGTCAAAGATGCTAAACAAAAGCTTTGCTTGGCATAGAAAGAGATTAAAACCAATGAGCAGAGTGGAAGAAAGAAATGCAAACGAAAAAGAAATACAAGTGAGCTTTTTAATTAGCCTGAATGCAATAGTATTGAAGTGAATGCCCATGTGTGTACCATAATATTATAACATTCGAGAAAACATAAAAGCAAAAAAATTATTTAATAACAAGAAAGAAATACTAGCTTTCCACAAAACTTGGTATGAGCTTACAACTTAAACATCCTAAAAATGTCACCTATAAGGAATAATATTATTATTAATAAAGAAGTATTGCCCAATAGCTTAAAAACTGATTACGATTGTAAATTCTAAAGCCCTTTATATATGAGGTATTTGAAATTTAGTAATATTCGAACATATGCATTTGCCTCTCTGTTCGAGCACTTCCCGAAATATCGATACCAACCCTCTTACACGGGTGAGCATCGACCCACCAACAGAATCACCTCATCAATAAAAAAAAAAAAAAATAAAATAAAATAAAAAAAAAAGGTATACACAGATGCAAGTGTTTATTAATATTCCTGGTAATTTTGACCCACTACAAATTCTCTTCCAACTTCAGTTCCAATGCCGCCACCCACCCAAACTCAAACGCCCCTTTCAGCCCGAAAAGTGGGTGGGGTCAGAGGTTGGAAAACCACTTCGTGGGGTTAACATTACTTGCTTAACCCCTAAACACAGCAACAGTATAAGACCTGCGCTTAAAGAGCTTGTTCTTCAGACTGCTTTTTGAATTTTGACACACTTTTTAGAAGTTTTTTATGTACACCAGGAATTACTGTACTCAATACTATAATTTGGGTAATAATTTCATAAAAGAAAAGTTATTTTCAAGAAATTACTAACAAACCCAAATCATATTATAACATTAAACCACTTTTACACATTCTCCTAATTGGTCAGTTATATAGTGTTATAGCAGTATTTCAGTTTCTAACCATGTCAGTGTCAATTGGGATTTAAGTAGTAGTAAAAAGGATATAATCAACCCAGACATATGTATGATCAATATAATTATGTTGCCAGTTAACGTAGTATCCAAATCGTTAATGCTAAAGATATAAACCACTTTAAAAAGTTCTAGGAGTTATTAGATCGCCTCTTTTTAATAACATAAGGGAATGTCAGTTTCAAATGCCCCAAAAATGACTATTTCAGAACCACTATTTCAGTAAGGCGACTATTTACTATTCAAACTTGTTTGGTAGAATGTTACATATCAAGGATAATACTTACACCTCCAGGATGCGGTCTCCTTTTTTGATGCCCGCTTTTTCGGCCGCCCCATTTTCAAGAACGGCGCTCACATGTTGAAGGGGGGCGTACAATTCGCCGTTGATCGAGCGCAATTGACCCCCCTCGGAAACTTGACCGCGCACATTGAAGCCGAATCCCGTTTCCGTTTTGTAAATGGTGACGACACGGGGGCCATTTGCTGTGGTTACGCCTACGCCCATGACTCCCCCTCCAACAACCCCTCCTCCTGATGATGCGGATACCACCGCGCTGGATGGGCCAGAGGGCGGGGGGAGGGGGTGATTCTCGCCAACGATGCTCATTGCGCCGGTCGTTCTTGCTCGCTCGCACTCACTGGTTTAAAGGGAGGGGGGGCTCCTCTTCCCCTCTCGTTTGCTCTTCCTCTCTTCTCACCCCTTCACCCACCTCTCCACTCCTCCTTCTTTGTTGTTTGCACAATGTCTTTTGTTGTGGTTATTTCTCTCTTTTATTTTGCGTAATGTTTTCTGCAACTTCTTTTCGGCATAAGCACACACACACACGTATAGAGACACCGCCACTTTTACTTTTTCCCCTCCTCGTTCTCTCTCCTTCTCTCCACCAAAACTCCTCTTCCACTATCTCTCTCTCTCCTCCGCTCACTGCCCCACACACACACACACCGAAAAAAATATAATATTTGTGTGTTGTATTTTATTTTAACCCGCCGCTTGTGTTTTCGCGCTGCGCATTTTGTTGCTAGCATCTAGCCATTGGTAATTGCATTAACTATTTTACACGTAATTATGCGCAATTTAGCCGCTTATTTATTTTGTTCCATTGCTGAAAATGAATCCGAAACTAGAGGTGCGCGATGTCCGATTGCCGACTGAAACAATCGGGGACAGAGTGTCGTTCGCGGTCCATCGGCCAGCGATCAGCTGACCGGATTATCGATAGCTATCGGGGGAGTGAATGTTATCGGCATCCGGAAGCGTGACGAGCGCAATTTTGAGCACCCAAAAAGCTCAGGGACGAACAGTGGGCTAAAATTAGAAACTTCCAAAAAATATTGACTAGTTCAGCTTTAAATATAAGGTTTTTTTATCAAAAAATTATTCTCATAAAATTATTTCATTTAAATGATTGTTTTCTTAACCCACTGTGCAGCGTGATGAACGCAAGCGTGAGGAAAAAAGCTCAGCTTTAACTTATAACGGTACACTTCGAAGGGTTGCATTTTCCAAAAATCAAATTAGCTTTCAGTAGCCAAAACTTGATCTATTATAAAAATTAGGTAAAATTATCAAATTTGTAACCTCAAAAAAAAACTACAGAATTTAGTCCCATAAAATTTTAGAAATACCAAATGTTCTTTAAATTATAAAGATAATATCTAATTTTATATAGTTAAGATAATAATCATCCAACTATAAATTATTTAAGAACCTTGCTTTGTAAAGAATTTAATACTTTTCATACAGCGCTGCCAATCCAAGGGCTAACATTTTACTACTTTGAAATAATTCATTTCACTGCTTCTCAATTCAAAATAAAATATATTTATTAATATTTCCCAAAACCCAATTGTACTTGTAATTCCCCAAAAATCATATAATGAATATCGAAGAGGATGGGGGCGTGACTACGACCATAAAAAGGGATCATTCATACATGGGCATGGTCGTCGACGCTTTTGGACGAAGATTGGGGAGAGGGATGGGGTGCTGAAAAAGTATTTCCCTCCCAAAACATGATATTTGAATGCAATGCTTCCTCTTTTTATTTTCGTTTTGATTTCGTATTGTTTTACTGCTGCTCTGTTGTTTCTGTTGTTGTTGTTGATGTCTTATGAAATTTGTTAGATACGCACATTCTAAATTGTACATAATTATTTAATCCTGAAGCAGTCCTAAAATCACTGCCCTCTGCCTAACTACCAGTAAACGTTTCCTTTTTTGTTATTACTCAATTACTCACAGGCCATGCATACAAACATACACGTAAAAAAATAGTGCAAAAATGTATTACTTTTTCTGGTTTTTATATATATATAACAAACGGTACCTTTTTTTGCTTTTCGTTTTGTCTGCCTTTCAAAAACTTATTTTGAGTTTTTTTAGGCTATGCGCTCGAGATAAAATTTGAATAATTATTTAATAGAATATATGAAATAAGAGAAAAAAAAAAAAGGATTGTAGGAAACCGAAAATACATTATAATACGATTATTTTAGATCATGAAACGATGACCTGATTTAGGCAATAAATATATGTATAATATATATACTATATAATGTGTGTGTGTAAATTTTTGCATTTTATACGTTCTCTATTCGTTTTGGCTAAAATCAAAGCGAAGTGTTCTTGAAACAGGTCCAACAAAAATTGGCTAAAATGTGTGAGGCTCATTAAGCTCAAGCTTTTCCTAAACTTTCCCTTTTTTATACACATACAATATACACTTAAATTGATATAAGTCTAATTAATATAATTCCTAGACGTAAAAGAGAAAAATAAATTGTATTACTAGGTAAAAAAAAAAAGTTACAACTGAACCGGCTGCTACAAAATCTTTTAGTTTTTCTGATTTTTTTTGTTTTAAGTTTTATCGTTAACTAATGGCTAACTTAAGTATTTATATTTAGTATAATTACATGCATCTGCCTGCTGGCGAGTGGATTTAAATCCGAGCGCCCTACAAAAACTTCTAAACTCCTTAAGTTACTAAGAAATCGCCCCCAAAAATGTGGTGTTCTCTCTGCTTTAGAATTGTTGCTGCTTGTTGGTTTTGTTGTTGTTGTTATTATTATTATTGTTGTTGGTTGTTTGGTATGCGATATAGTGGCTATATCCCCCGGCGTTGATCCCGATCCAGATCCTGTGTGGGCTGGCTGTCCTGGCATTTATATACAATATATGGAAATTGACGAGAATTCTTGGCTGCCGCAGCTGCTCTTCCCTTTTTTTGCGAACTCGATTCCGTTTTCGATTTCGTTGACATCACAGACAGATGGATTGGATGACCCCGCGGGCTCAGTGGTGCCACATGAGCCATCGTTAACTCTTGGCGACGGCCTGCTCCGCGATGGTAGCTGCTGCCGGGGCTCCAATAGATCCTGCTCCTGATCCTGCTCCTCCTCCCGGTAACTGCTGCTTGCGATCCCACCACTCCTGGATGCTGGACACCATGCGATGTCGGCGGAAGCGCAACGATTCCCCGATGCACATCTCCACGAAATCCTGCTGCATCTCATAATCGCCCTTGACCAGATTCATGTGCTCCAGCAGCAGGCTATAGTCACGACCGGGTCGCCGGATGTCCCGGTAAATCTGCAGTCGCAGTTCAATATTGTGCAAGCGGGCCGCCTCACGTTGCTCCTCGCTGAAGATGGGGGGCAGTGATTGTCCCGTGGGACTCATCTCTCCGTTGTTGTTGTGCGTCGGCGAAGAGCTGCAGCTGGTGCTGCTCTTGATCTCCAGCTTGCAGGGGCTGCTATTGTTGTTGCCCCGATGATTGTGGCTGTTGCCCATCACCGAACTGCCCGGTGTTCCTCCGCCACTATTGTTGTTATTGTTGTGATGATTGAGGCCACTGGCCCAGAAATAATGGGGATTCCCCGCTCCAGTGCCGCCCACCAGTCCCGCGTTGCGTTTCAGTGCATCAAAACTGTTGCCACCCAGCGAGCCATGATCCTCGGACGAGGTTCCCCCACTCTCCGCGCTGCCATTCCCGTTCAAATTGCTGTTGATTGCTCCCGCTCCGCCCGAGGAGCCACTGCTGGTCCCATTGTGGCAGGTCTGCAGTATCCGCGAGATCTCCGAGGCATCGTTGATGTCATTGTGGCTGAAGTAGGCGGAGCCGAACGATAATGCCGACGAGCCGGCAGCGGGCGCACTGGCTCCCAGCGGCGAAGGAGGCACCAAGGATAGCGGCGAAGGCGGAGAGATGGCTGAACTATGCGGATGTCCATAGCCATTGGCCAGGGGTAACGATCCCGGCTTGCTGCCACTCAGTAAACCGGCTGCTCCTGCTCCTCCTGCTCCACCCAAGGAGCTCAGGTTGTCCAGCGGCGAACTGAGACCGCCCAGATTGCTGCTGTAGGCTGCATGGGTGGTCAGGCCGTTGAGGGGCACATAGAGAACTCCCGAGGAACTGGCGCTGGAACTGATGATGGAACTACTGCTGCTGGCGGCGACGGAGGAGCAAACATCGCTGCCATTGCTGGTCTGGATCACAGATGCCGCTGGCGTTGCTGGTGTCACTGCTGGTGGTGGTCCAGCTGGCGGTTCGTTAGCTGGCGATGCTCCCGGCAGTGAAACACCACCTGGTACCGCATCCGTTTCCCCCGAAGCCGCATCATCGCTGATCCCATTGATAAAATTGTGCACATAGCCGTTGAGCGGCGTGTCCTGATCGCTGGTCTCCTCCTCGTTGAAATCGAAACCGATGCCCAATCGATCCGTATGGGAGACGGACATGCCGGAGTCAATTGACGAAGCCTCCGATGTGGAGCTCACAAAGCTGCTGTTGCTATTGCTGTCCTCGTCGAAGCAGCTGGAACTGGTGTTGCCATCGGCTCCCCCTGAAGAGGAATCGCAGCCGACTAGGGATGATGTGGCTCCCGGTATCGGAGATCCTGGCGCACTGCCCGTTGTTGAGGAGACGGCACTGGAGCAGGAGGATCGCGAATCCGTGGACATTCGGCGAAATTCGAAGCCACGTGGCAAAGGTCCGGCTTTCCTCTTTCGCCCCCTGGACGTGCCATCGAGTTTCTTCGAGGATCCGCCACTGCCGCCAAGCATGAGCCCGGACATTCCGCCACCCATTCCGGACATTCCGGGACCCGAACCACCGCCTGGCGAGGAACCTGGCGACGAGGGACCCGCCCCCGTGGGCGAGCCCGACCCAGATGGCGATCCCGGCGGGGCTCCACCCGGTCCATTGCCATTTGGCGACTTCATCGGCGCCACATCACTCAAATCCGCCTCGTCCACCATCACCATGTGCTTGTCCTTCTTGTACGGATTGCCAAACATGTGCTGCCGCACATTCGTCGGCTCGATTTCGCGCAGTGGATTGTCCTTGTTCTTGAGGTACTCCTGGTAGTTGCCCATCTCGGCGATGGGCAGGCAGTGGCCCGAATCCTTGGCCACCAGCGAAGCGGGACGCAGGAAGGTCTCGCGCATCCTGGCTATTTCCTCCACCAAGTCACGACGTGGTATATCGAAGGGATTGCGGTACGTCTTGGCGGACGACTGATGCGTCAGCTGCGGCACCACAATCGTATAGTTCTCCACGGGCTCTATTTCCGCATGCAGCTTGGCAAATGTGTCCCGCAGCAGTGGATGTCGCACCAAGTCCCTTCGCAGTGCTGCACCCGTGCAAAGTTTGGCCGTCTCCACTTGGCGATACGGTGGCTTGGGCTGTTTCAGCTGCTTGTAAACCTTCAGGCAAAGATTCTCCTGATCCTGCTTGGCCGTATTCTTGATGTGCTTCAGCTGATTCGCGATCGTCGGCGACAGGTAGTTGTCCACATTCTCGGGCAGCAGGAACTGCAGCAGCTGATACGGCACATTGATGTTGACCAGCGCCTTGCGCAAAAACGGGCAGTAATACGGCGGTATCGAGCGCACATAGGCGTTAAATTTGTACATCAGATCGTTCGGCGGACTCATGTTGTACTTGTGGATGAGGTCGTGAAGGATGGGCAGCAAAGCCGGATAGTTATAGGCCAGTACGTAGAGGTGCACCTGCGAGAAGTTGGGCGCTGCTTTTAGATAACCAAAGGGCAGCTCAAACCCATGCATTCCATTGGTCACAATCACCTGCCAGCACTTGTTCATCTCCCGCTTGTTGAGGATCTGCAGCGTCAGTGGACAGCCCTCGATCTCGTACTTGTCCACGGGAAAACTACGCACCAGCTGCGGTTCATCCACCGCCGGCGTTAGGATCTTCAGTTTGGGATGTGCGTCGCGCGGTGGCAATGTTATCGCCTTTGAGTCCGGCCAATAGGGCTCCGGCAGTGGCCAATAGCCGATGGGGAAGGTCTTCTGCGTGATGTGCTTCTGCACGTAGATCATCTTTTTCACCGGCTGGAAGACAATATCGGGTGGTGGATCCGCTCCGGACGTTAGAGATGTGCCCGAAATGGAAATCGAGCCCGTTCCCGCTGATCCGCCACCGGAAGCGGCACCGGCACCAACCTCTTTCGGTAGCAGGGGCTCAAACTGCAGCACTACACCCGGCTGAACCTTCTGGACCAGACTTTCGATGCACTGGTTGAGGACATAGTGACTCCGCACTCGATATGACCGTCCGCCGGTCACCTCGCACATCCTCTCGATTGGGGAATCATCGTGCGGCACCTTGCCGTCCACTCGCTCGTCAATTTTGTTGCCCGGCATTCGGAGGACCAGCGAAAACAAACGCTGATCCCAGCGGAAGGGCTCCTTGGTGAATTTCGTGCCAGGTATTTGGTTGCTAAGCGGCAGTATGATCTCCTGATGGACACCGTTTCGGTACGAATACCGTCCGCCGTCCGTAATCACAATGATGACCGAAGGTTCCAGGTAAAAGGGACACCTGCCCTGGCCGTACGTATCGATGCCCGACTGCATCCGGTTCAGATTCAGCAGATCAAAGGCATTCCGCAGCGATTCACCCATGGAGGTGAGGCCGTGGCTCTGCAGGTTCTTCAGTTCGTTCATGAAGGTCGCGTGATTCTCCTTCCACCCAGCCTTCACATTTGCCGGTGGCTCCTCGAACGTGAGCAACATGTAGCGGTCTCCGAGGCAATCCTGCGTCCGCTGGCGATACTTCAGGAACGTCTCTACGGCGCCCTTGGCAATGTCCAGATACGTTTTCTGCACCCCATTCACATACGCCTTCTGGCACATGGACGACGAGGTGTCCACGAGGAAGAGTATGATTGTCATGGCGGTGATTGATCCTGCGTTCTGTTGACCACCTCACCTCTCCTTTCCCGAACTCCTCCTTTCAGTCAGTGTGGTTCCCGCTCTGTTATTCTTAAAGAAAAAGAAAAAGGTGTCAGGATTAACACAAAATGTTATGATTTAAGTTAGGGTTGCAAGCCGATATTATATCAGCTGAATATTTTTACGTCTTATAAGGGTTTCTATTTAGAGCCAAACTAGTGTATTTAGAACACCTGATGAACTGTAATCCTAAACAGGATTAATTTTGTTTATAAAATATTAATATAAAATAATTCGATTTTTATTATTATTTTAAGTGTTCACAACTTTTTAAATAACTTTTTTTCTGTCTAAAAAAAGTACTATTCTGCAATAAATTAATTGAATTAAAATTGGAATGAAATAATTTTTTTATTGACCCCAAAATTGTAAAAATATTTTACCCATCGTAAAGTAAATTTTGAAATAAACGTTACTCTTCCTTGACACTTCTATAATACATATATTTACACTAAATCTAATTAAAGCATGACGTAATTTAATTCCAAGACACAAAAATTCAAAATCTTACAGAGTGATGCATAAATATAAAATAGACTTCAAAATATTTGCCGCATGAAGAAATACGGGTTTAAAACTCTTGTTTAAAAATAACTAAAAGTAACCAAAACGAAGAAACTTAATTAAATTTAGCCGCTACACGCTTCTGCCAATCAATTTTGCTTAATTGGTTGAAAATCCGGTCTAGGAACATATACTTATTTTGAAATAAAATAACTATTTTATTTTGTGGTTTTAATGACGTTCAGAAATTTAATTTCAAAGAATTAAAGTAAAACCATTTTTAATTTCACAAAGTTTTGAAAAGTTAAGATTAGGAAATTATCTATGTTTAAATGTATTCCCAAAATTTTGAAAATATTATCGATAAGTGTTTTCGAAACGTTTTGCATATCAACCAATATCTAGTTTTACTTACTTTATCTATCTGTTATCGTTATATCTCTCTCTTGCTCTCTCTCTCTCTTTCTCCTTCTCTATTTTCGATCTCTTTATTCTCCCTGCCTTCTTATTATTGTTGTTGTTGCGATCTCTTTTTGTGTGTTTAGTTTTTGTTTACGTTGTTAGCAGCTCTCTTTCTCTGCTTGTTGTTGCTGATTCTCTTGCTCTTGCTTTTGTTGTTGTTGTCCTGGGCTTGATCGATTTGCTCTTTTTCTGCGTTTCGCTGTTCCGCTTTTTTTATGGTACATGTTGCGTGAAACAGCTGACATTTGGACTGGATAGAAAACAACAACGAACTGCAAATAGAAACGGAACGAAATAGTAATGAAACGGGCCTGCAACTGGTTGTTTAATATCAATAGGTTGCGCATACGCACTGTGTGCAATCGATTCGAAAAAAGAGCCTATATAAAGATAATGGAGCTGCGTAATCACCGCTTTTATACACAAACCCTGTATAAAACAAGTGCTAATTAAACAACAAAATGGAATTTAATTTCCAGGGGGTCAGTTGGTCCTCAAGAGCTGTGTTTTCTGCGAATATTTATGGGGGGAAAAATCGGTTTGACACAAATCCAAATCCACTCCACTCACTGGCCATTATTGCTCATCTCCTCTCGCTCCTTTCAATTTGGCTATGCCTGTGCCCCCTCCTCTTTCTCTTTCTATTGATGCCCCACTACGGAGTCATTCACTCGACGCCACTGCCACCACTAACACGCTCTGTTGGCGTCGCCTAGAAATGCCCGCGTGAGCCAGGTAGGCGAGGCTCGTGATCGGAGAAATTGCACTCTTTAAAAACAACAGGTTTACAAATGTTATCCAAGTAATAATACGCTATTTACTTTCTTAAAATACAATAACAGCTTTACTGAAACATGGAAATAAGTTCAAAAATGTTTAAAGATTTTTACTTTTTATCTAACAAATTTTAAATGAAAAAGTAATTATTTACCTACATATGCAAATTAACGGAATAATTGTGATTTGTTAGTTATTTTGTTTACTTTAATATAAAGTCACCGAATATTTTATAGTTTTTTTTTAGAAATATAATAAAAAAATCAAACAGAAAACCATTTCAAATTTAATATTGTGAGCATTTTTTTCGATAAGAAATCACACAATATTTTGACAATCTGCATATAAAATAGATTTGCAATCTACCGATATTTTCTGCCGTTCTTAGCTACACGGATAACTCCACTCAATGTGGGTTAAAAGGTAACCGTAACGTAAATCGATTACACAATGCCAGCGCTCACGATCGTGAGTGTGTGTGCGGGAGAGGAACACGACCTACGCATCTCTGATTAAGAGAGGGAAGCAGAGTGGGAGAAAGGAGGCGGGAATGCCAAGACAGGAGGAATGCGGGAGCGATTAACCAAAGCCGGGATAACGATAACGATCTCTTGGCGATCACACGCTTAACCCATATCCTTACACTGGGAATTTACCATAAATTAGGGCAACTATCCAGTTTAAAGGTGTTTTTACTACCAGTGGAGCCGTAACCGTAATTGACTTGAATTTCGAGTGCAAAACATTCAATTTTTATTTGAATAAGAGCGCAAACACACACGCACACTCTCGCACATGGATATGCACACGACACGAAACACGCACGCACACAAATTCACGACTAGGGTTACCAGATGAATTTTTTTAAACTGCGGAAAATAATAGATAATTTATTAAAATTAACTAATATTTCTAGGAAAAAACGACGAATTCCGGATTAAACTAAATAGTTTGTGCTTTATCGTTGATCTGGCAACCCTGTCACCCATGCAGGTGAAGAGGGGTGGCCGCGGGGTACAAGTCGGCCTATTGTGCTCGATGGCAATCCAAATAACACACACGTCCCAAAAAAATAATGATATAAAGCCGACGAGCTCTTCAAATAATCGAGTTTTTGCTGCCAATTAATCTCGACGAAACGATGTTTTGGCCAACAAAATAATGACACGGCTCTTCGTCGGAATTCACTTATGCAGCCGCAGCGCCAGGGTTGCCAAAACACCACGCACACAAAAAAGGGGCGATAAAAACACACAGCTTTTTACGTTTGGCAAAATGGGGCGGCAAAAAGGAGAGCAAAGCCTTTGATTGGTGGTCATTTTTCATTTCGGATGACCTTAATTTGCATGTGATAATGCTGATTAGTGCACTTGCGTTATCGTCCGCGAAATCGTTATCGCCAGAGTTGCAACGCGCACAAAAATCGATTGCCCGCCAAAGCTTTTGAATTTTTGAAAGTTGCTTTAGCCATTTTAAAGATCATATGGTTAATATTTAAGGTTTTTATTCTTCACGCTCTTTTAAAAAACACTCGTTCACATCAAAACCGGCAGCCCATTGTAAAGTTTCCAATGTAAAAAAAAATTATTAAGACGCACTAACAAATGGAATTTCTCTCCTCCCAATACTTTCAATAATCTTCGATTAGCTTCTATATGCCGCGTTACGATTTTTTATTCTGTTATATTTTTACTTTGTGCCAACAGAAACAGAAATTTATCACCACCGCGCGAGAGCGAGAACACACACACGGGGGCAGAGCGAGAGAGTGAGAGTTTTTGGTTTTTTTTTTGTGGCGCCCTCTCTCCCTCCCTCTGCCGTTAAGGTGCATGAGCGAGAACGACCGACAGACGCGACGAACAGTCGGGCCCACCGAACGACCGTCGCTATTGCCATCTCCCTCTCGCCTGTTAGTTAGTATCGGGGAGTTGTTGCTGCTATGCTTACACACACACACGCCAGCGCTCTGCTCGCGCACACACATTCACACGCACACTGTTGTTGCGCTGGCGTTGTCCGCTCCTGCTTCTTCTTCTTCGCCTCGGAATTTTTGCTGCTGCCGAGCAATAACAACACAACACGACCGTTCTCAAAGTACGAATGATTTCTAGAGGTGGAGAAACATCGAGCATTCATCGATGTTTTTAAGACATCGGTGATATCGATGTTTGGCAAAGCATCGATGTTTTTCCATCACTATGTTAAAATACAAAGTTTTCCTAACATAAATGTTTAAATAAAACGTTTTCCTGACAGAAATATTAAAAAGCGCTTTAGAGGGGGACAAACGCCAATGTTTTCAAAACATCGATAATATCGATGTTTGGCAGGGCACCATCGATGTTTTTCCTTCCAGTAACTGGTATTTTGGAACGGTCGAAAAGCTACTGCGCTAAAAGCACTTAAACTTCGAAAAATGGTCGCACCATTACCACTCCAGTTTTTCCGAACCCTGTTATCGGCTGTTTAAGTTTATGAAAATAACATTCTACTTAAGCGCTTATTTCAAAATGACCATTAGTAGGCGAACGTTTTCCATATTTTCCTCATAAAATAATAACTTTACGTAAATAAATCATTACTCATAAAATGCATATTTCAACTAAACAAAAAAACAACAGTTTAAGACTTGTTTTTTCCGACTTTGACCGGTTTATCCGTAATCAGGGACCCAATATACACGGAACCTAAAAATTTGAAGTAGTAAATTCGGGGGCACAGCCTCGAATTAGTTCACCGTTTCTTTTTATTTTTTGGCAATTTGAAATTTGTATTTTATAATTTTATTAATAATCTGTGATTATATTACTTCAAATATTTAAAAAAAGTTCAGTTTGCTTTGTCGATAGAGATAGAAGTCTATCGTTGCTGTTGCTATCGTTATCGTCCCTGAACACATGTTCACTCCGCTTTGGCGCGTTAACACGTAAATAAAAATAAAAGTCCGGAAATTCGCACGCCAAAATGCCGGAGAGCCAGATCGCCGGCATTCCGGTGCACTTTCCATTCGAGCCGTATCCGGTGCAGCGGGCGTACATGGAAAAGGTGATCCAGTGCCTCCGGGACGGAACAAATGGAGTCCTGGAATCGCCAACGGGAACGGGTAAAACCCTGAGTCTGCTGTGCTCATCCTTGGCCTGGATCCGCACCCGCCAATCGGAGCAGCAGCATCAGATGGTCAAGATGGAGAAGGGCGATTTACCTGGTCTAGGAGGAGCTGCTGGAGCCGATCTCTCCGAATTGGCCAAAACAATGGCCAGGGCCAACAACTGGGGCGTTCCCAAGGTAATCTACGCTTCGCGCACCCACTCCCAGCTCACACAAGCCATGCGGGAACTCAAGAGGACGGCCTACTCTAACATGCGATCCGTGGTCTTGGGCTCCCGTGATCAGCTGTGCATCCATCCGGAGGTCATGAAGGAGCAGGGCAACTCGAACAAGACGAATATGTGCAAGCTGCGGGTGCACTCCAAGACCTGTTCGTTTCAGGCGCGGGTGGAGTCGCGTAAGGATCATCCCGATCTGCGGGGACCCACTATCATGGACATTGAGGACCTGGTCAAGGTGGGCCAGCGTCTGAAGATCTGTCCCTATTTCGCTTCGAGGGAATTGGTTGCCCAGGCGGATATTACCTTTATGCCTTATAACTACCTACTCGATCCCAAGGCTCGCAAGGCCAACAAAATCGAACTGGGGAACACTATCGTCATCCTGGACGAGGCCCACAACATCGAGAAGATCTGCGAGGAGTCCGCCTCGGTGCAGATCAAGTCCTCCGACGTGGCCATGGCCATCGAGGATGTAACCCATGTGATGAAGGTCTTCGCCAGCGGCGAATCGCAGGATATGGGCGCCGATGAGCCCAAGGACTTCACCCTGGACGACCTCACGCTGCTCAAGGAGATGCTGCTCGAACTGGAGAAGGCCATCGACGCGGTGGTGGTGGAAAACGTTGGCGAAGGAACCACCTTTCCCGCCTCCATGATGTATGAGCTGCTCGGCAAGGCGAATGTAAGTCGAGCTCAAAAACAGATTTCGAGGTCAATATGACGGAGAGTTATTTAGGCTTATCTTAATTTTAAAATTTGTTTAATTGGGGTGTTTGTTTAAATAATTTAAATATTTTTGTTGAAAATTTTTTTAAAAAATTTTACATCTTGATTAAACAAAAAAATGTTAAATATTTTTTAATCATATAGGAAACAGGTTATTTTAATCCTTTGTTTTTATTTATTTAATAAGGAGAAATGAATTGAAGAAATAATTTTGAAATTAATTCCCTAGTGTTTTTTTTCCTTCCACGCAAGTTTTTATTTTTCATTTGTACACATTGTTGAAAAGAAAATATGTATAGAATGGAAACCAAATCTAAAATTGGATTAAGAAGCTTACATTTTTTTTTACAAAATGTGAGAAAGTCACTTTTATAGTTACCTTGATTGAATATTTAAATTAGCTCCCCATCTTTTCAGTTTACCTACGGCAACGTTGCCACCATAGTATCCCTGCTGGACAAGCTGGTGCAGTACCTCCTGGTGGCCTCCCAACAGATGAGCATCCGGAAGGGCGGCACCTTTACGATGCTCAGCGATCTGCTGACCATTGTGTTTGCCAACAAGGAAGACGTGATGACCAAGGTGCACGCCAGCTTTAAGGTGCATGTCCAGGTGGAGGAGACCAAGCAGCAGGGACAGGGCAAGCAGCAGGGTGTTAATAAACAGGGTTGGCTAAGCAAAGGAACGATTGCGTCCGCAAATAGCTCAAGCAAAATGGCCAAAATCATCAACTTCTGGTGCTTCAATCCGGGCTTCGGCATGGAACAGCTGCTCAACACCCAGGTGCGCAGCGTAATCCTCACCAGCGGCACGCTGGCGCCGCTCAAGCCCCTGATCGCCGAGCTGGCCATTCCGGTGGCCCAGCATCTGGAGAATCCGCACATCGTCGACCAGTCGCAGGTGTACGTCAAGATCATCGGCACCGGACCCGACCGTCAGCAATTGATATCCAACTACACGAACCGGTGAGCGTTACTTACACTTGAAGGCCATTCAATAATACACAATGGGTGGAGTTACTCTATTCACTTTTTAAAATGACAAAGCTTCATAAATTTAGATTGTCTTTCCAATCACATCAATTTTTTTTGGCGAATTTCTTACGATATAATCAATTTAACTAATAGTTAAATTTTTTGTATACCGTGCATTATTTAAAATGCAAAGAAAGTACTTTGATAATAGTTTATAAATGATTTAAAAAAAAATGTAAAAGTATTATTTTTCCTATCTTACATATATTTTTGTTAAGATTTGAGATATTTACCTTTTTCTGCCCTCCTTTTGCAGTGATAATCCAAAGTACATCAGCTCGCTGGGCCAGACGATCCTGAATGTATCGCGAATAGTTCCCGATGGTCTCCTGGTCTTCTTTCCCTCGTATCCCATGTTAAACAAGTGCGTGGACGCGTGGCAGGCGAGTGGATTGTGGGCGGACATCTCGGCCAAGAAACCGATCTTTCTGGAGCCGCGCAGCAAGGACCAGTTCACCAGCACGATGGAGGAGTTTTACCAGGCGATACGCGACTCCAAGGGCGCCGTTTTCATGGCCGTTTGTAGAGGGAAAGTTTCCGAGGGTCTGGACTTTGCCGATCGCAACGGCCGCGCTGTGATCATCACGGGTCTGCCCTATCCACCGCTCAAGGATCCAAAGGTGATATTGAAACGGCGCTATTTGGAGGCAAACAGGACGCGGGAGAACCAACTGTTGAGTGGCCAGGAGTGGTACAATCTGGATGCAACGCGGGCAGTCAATCAGGCCATCGGTCGTGTGATCCGACATCGCAACGATTATGGCGCCATTCTGCTCTGCGATTCACGGTTTAAGGACGCCTCCCAGGTGCAGCAGCTGTCCAAGTGGATCCGGGGCCACCTGGGCGACCGGCCGCAGTGCTCCCCCTTCGGTCCCATCGTCAGGGAGTTGCGCCAGTTTTTCAAGAACGCCGAGGCCAACGTGAGTCTCAAAAGTGTTTTGTCCGCTTTCATGGTGTAAATGAATCCACCTGAATTCCACAGATGAAGCAGCCGGATGAGCGGGAATCAGAGCCAGCTTTGGAAACGGTTTGCAAGACTGAGGACGAGCCACTGGCTGCCATTCCCAAGATCAAACGGGAGCCGGGCTCCAATGCCACCTTCAAAGCAGCCAATGAGAGGGCCATGTATGTACCATTATATTTAACATCATTAATAATTATTTCGTATATGCCACTTTAAACCATTTTGAAATCGGTCTTAGCTAATATCTAAAGTTAAGAAAAGTGAGGTGTTTGGGGTCACCAAAAAGGCTTAAAATGGTTGCATCATGAATTGTTAGCTCATTTTAACTAATTGAGTACTTTTATATGGTACCAAAAAATTTATATAAAACTTTTAATAATTAAAAAATCAAAGTGCAGATTAATATAAAAGAAATCCACAACATTTTAAAGGCATAACCTTTTGCAATCAGATTTTAAAAGCTAAAGTTATAAGTTACATTTAAATTTTTTTGAGTTTTTCCGGCTCGAGGTCAACAATTGAAAAATGTTTTAAATAAAAGTTTTTAATTTTTATTTTTTATTATTTCCCATATATTTCGGTTGCACTTCGGCAACCGTCTTCAGGGCAAATAATTTTACACGTCTGCACCGTCGGACGTGGAGATTAATTAATTTTTTAAAATTAATTAATTTAAAAAAAAAAAAAAAAAAAAAAGTTATAAGTTACATTTTGTCATTGTTTCTTTATGCTTGCCTTTTATGCTAATATTTGTTTCCTCTACAGCAAAGTGGAGATGGCCAATTCCATAAAGACGTGGTCTCCCGCCGATTATGCCAGTGCCGCTGGACAAAAACTGGGTGGCTCGGCGCCCAATGCCATGGACTTTATGAGCCGTCTCGACTCGAATGTCTCGGTAAGCACGAGATTCCCATGAATCTACATTTACTTTCTGTTTACTCGTTGTTTAGGCCATGTTCCCCCATTCCAGAGTATCGATTTCAACTGCTGCATGGATAGTAAAAGTGGTTCCTCTGGCTTGGTAAAGATTCATAAGCGGGAACGAAGTTCACCAACGCCGCCGGAAACATCAAGCCAGGTGGCCAAGAAGCGTTACAAACTGGTGGAGAACATCAAGATGGAGCCGATTAGTTCGCAGGTTAAGGAGGCCCCCGAATCAAGGGCCGATTTTCTTCGGGAGGTGGGATATATATTAGCGATTACTCTTAAAGTTTTTATTATATATATCTAACCTTACAGCTGCGCAGCTTGGTTAACCAGGATGAATTCCGCCGCTTCGGCAAAGCTCTTTTGGAATACAAAAGTGGAACGGATGAGAGTTTCCAGGCCCTGATGACTGTCCTCTGGGAGGTCCTTGCCGCTCCCAAGATGCGTTATATGCTTGTCGGGATGCGGAAATATCTAAAAAACGAGCACAAAGGCGAATTCGATCAGAGGTTAGCTAAGCTCTAGGAACCTGAGCCTCTTTTAGGTGACTATTCAAAACAGTTTCGGAAATAATCCATTCCACGGATCTGCCTGAATATGTGTTTTTATACCTGGCTGTATTTTTTGTATAATATTTGGGGGGATGTATATATTATATAAAATTTTAAAATATTATAAATTTAATGGAACGAATCTTCTTTATAAAAGTGTTTATTAGGAATACAAATTATATTAAAATTATAAAATAAACAAAGTTTCTCATTTTTTTGACATTTTAATTATTGATGATGTTTTCTAATAACATGACTATTTTATTTTTATTTAGTCGTTAAATTCAATTATTGGGTTCGTGATAAATTGGCATTTTATTGCTTTCTGGCCTTTTTGAAAGTATTAATAAGACCGGATTTGCATACATTTTTATTAGCTGAAAATAATTACTTTTGAAGTTCATTTATTATCTCGTCCCTAAGATATATGTTTGAGTCAGTTGTCGGTTGGCTTGGCAACAAATCTGTGAAGTGCAGCCAACGCAGAGCGCATCCAATAAGTTCATTGCCAAACGGGCCGAGCCGAGTCCCTCTAATGCACTGTATGCACATCCCCATCGGTTTTCGCAACCGAGTCCGAGTCCGAGTCCCAAAAACGAGACCGAGTGCAGCGAGAATGCAGGTCGGGTCCGAGTTGCTACGACTTCGGACTTGGGAGGCACGGCACTCGCACTCGCGTGGCAACAATCGTCCAGGGCGCACGGCACTCACGCAGAGCTTCTGGAGGAGGTGATAGCAATAGCTTCTAGGGGGCCAAAGCCATACCCCGATCCGAGTAGGAGTCCAATTCCTGACCCGCAAATACCCGCTGAATTCATCCGCCTCGTCTAATTTACGCCGCTTTGATTGGGGCACGCAGTAAGTTGATTGCATTTTCCCAAAGCCGTTTGCTATTTGCAACAAGTAACAAGGGTGGGTGGGTGTTGGTTGTTAGCCTACGCAACGACCTTGGCCTGGTTTAGGCACTTGCCTTAATTGCATTTTGTCGTGCATCGTGCAGCGCATCGCACATGGTGGAGGAGATTGGCTGCCAGAGACAGACGGGCATTGTGGTCGCCATGCCCAGCCAGGTGGCATCGAGCACCGGAACTCCAGCTCCAGCCGCCGGCGGCATTCACCAGCAGCAGCAGCAGCAACAGCAACATCAGCAGCAGCAGCAACATCAGCAGCATCAGCAACACCAACAGCAGCAACACCACCAACAGCAGCAACACCACCAACAACAGCAACACCAACAACACCACCAACAGCAGCAACATCAACAACTCGCCAGCAATATGAGCCTATTGACCGTTAAGGGCGGCGGTCGTTACCTTTGGACCGATCGGGAGCTACTGATGCACCTCCAGAACTACACTCCGCTGATCCTACTCATCGATTTCGTGGAGAAGACCCGGACCAAGCGATTCTACGAGAGCTCCGAGCGCTATGAGATCCTCATGCTGGTCTTCATCATGCGAAAGGGAGCGCCGTTCTGTGAGAACAAGCGTTTTCCGGCGGAATATTGGGTCAACCTGTCGGTGGGACCAATTGCCGAGGCTATTGATCGGTTGCAGGCGGCCATCGACATACCGGATCCCCAGCTGCCGATCCATATGAGCGTCACGGATTTGACCAGCTGGAAGCAGATGTTCGATCTGGCCATGCTGGATATAAGGCGTTTTGCGTACTACACCGATCCTTTGCAGCTGGCCGATGCGGGTGTCTTTAATCGAATCACCTTCGAGCAGCGATTCGGAATGCAATGGCAGGAGTAGTAGTGGGAATCGATACAGGATATATGTCACGGAATACAGGATATAAGCACACCCCCTGCACCAACACAACTCACCACATTTTGATGGATCACGGAAAGGGTAAAATACGTTAGGCTGGTTGTAAACGGTGACGCAGTTAATTTACACTGTTTACAAGTTAAAGCTTGGAACTATCCTTAAATCAGAGCAGATACAATCGTTAACATGCCTAATATTTGCCAAATTTGATTTATTAACATATATGTATATGTATTACCATTCTTGCGGCCAAAACTATTATTTAAAGACACAGATTTATTTATATTTATATATAACTCCTTAAATTTTTAAGCAAATAATATGTCACAAAGAACCATGATGAGTTATTACAATATTCGCATTCTTTTCATTTTAACAAATTAATCAATGAAAATGTCAATTTAAATTCATTGGGTATTTAAATTTATTGGGTACTTTTCATAAGAAATGCTATTAAATTTATTGTATAATCAGGCATTGTATAAACAGTATAAACTGCCATAAATAGTTCTTGGATTACTCCTTTTAGGCGAACGTAAAAACCGATCCATCCTCCCCCAAATAGACAGAGTTATTTGTTGCGTTAAATTCCCTGCATAGCGAAATCTACTGTGCCTTCTCCACCACTCCTCGTCCTCCTTTTCCTCCTCCACAGGTCCACTCGCAACGTTTCTAACTTCATCTCTCCTCCGACTCCTCAAATGTATCTGTAATACAACCACTGTACTGTCGACGTAGGAACCAAAATGCTTTAATGGAAATAAACGTTAGTTACTGTTCAAAAGCCTATTTATCTTTATAAAATTGTGATACATTCTCATCGCGCATTACTTACTATAAAAAATATCTTTATGTACAATTAAACTACGGCTAAATTCTTAATTACACATCGTCGAGATCCTCGGCAGTCCCATTTAACTGGGATGAGATGATCCGAGCTCATGGCTGCCGCTTGGGAATGCGTTCCCGATCGAAGATGCCCAGCAGCTTCCCGCGAGTCATCTCCTTGGCCTCACGGAGTCCCAACTGATAGATCTCGTCATGCATCGATTTTATCTTTTCTATCAGCTCCTCGGGAGTGAGTTGGGATAGTTCTGAATAAGAGAACAAAACTATTATTTAAATATTGTCCAAATTGACTTCTGACTAAACAAGAAAAAACTATCTAATTAATTTATATTATATATGTATTATATATTTGTAGACTCCAAGATTAAAATATAGTATATAGTTTAGGTTTTTGAGTAAATAATATAGAAAACGATATAGATCACAATTAAACCAAAACAGTATATTATTATATTTGTATGGAAACAAACCCAAACCTATATATAAAACTCATTCTATGAGTTGAGTGCCATCTATGCTTGCCCCTATACAATGTTTACTTGGACTAGGGGGTTACTCACGATTGATCTTGGCCGTATCCTCGGTGGTCAGGTTGTTGGCATAGTCCGTGGTTCGCGTGTAGATGGGCGTATCGCTCATGGTGAGGAACTCATCCATACCAGGAACTGAAACACCGAAAAAATAAGGTTTAAAATAGGAACAAGTGTGGGGTACCACACGTCTTTTACACTCACATCGCTCCGGCCACTGGACAGGCGAGGCGCGCAGCGTTTCCATGGAGATGAGTTCGTCTTCCGGCGTATCCGGCTTCTTCTTGTCCTCCGACTTGTCGTCTTCGGCGGATAGCCTGCTCCTTGCGGACGCCGAAGCCTCGGCCACTTCCTCGTCCGCTTTCAGAACGGTTTCTGCAAGAAAAACACTATTTAATAAGGGTTCCCAATGGTTTTTAAGCTTCACTTACCTGGCCCAAAAAACTCTACAGCTGGCTCCACCTTGTTCATCTTTAAAACGGCAAAAAACGACCACAAAAACTAAATAAACAGAAAAATGCAAGAATTCCGTGGGCTAAGTCAATCTCTTGCCACCTGGTTGAATAAATGATGCAGCGTTGCCACCTAATAACTATCGCACGCTATCGATTAATACCACAGTCAGTGTTGCAAAGCTCCGGGATGTATAAATTAAATAAATCTTGGCAAACAAAGGACTGTTTTCTTATATTTTTCTTATTATTTATAAACTAAATGCCTAGCAACAAGAAAATTTAGATGCATTAATTAGTGTACATTTGAGTGGAGAGCAGGCAATGCTCTCGTTCTCTCGCACGCTTGACCAACGGCGCATAGAGACAACTCTGCGCGAGGTCGCCTGCTCTCTTTCGCTCTCACGGTAAAAAGCACTTGGCATGCTGCGCACAGTGACGTCTAAAATTATATGCCCCTTAAAAGCACATGTGCCCCAATTGTCTAAGTCAAAGATTTTTAAAAAGTTAAAGAATCAAGTTTATTCAATAAACTTTAATTCTTTGTTTTTGGGGATGACATTATCCTTTTATATGATCCTTTCTCATTATTATTTATTAATAAAACTCATACATTTTAGTGTTTTATTGTTCTTTTTCTTGTTTTTTAGCTTAATCAGTTATGTTATGCCCACGCGTCTGGCCACACTGCTCGCCGTGCGTTGACTTTTCGTTGGCACTGTTTTCCCATGCGCGCTCGCACTTTCTTTCAGTCGCTGCTCCGCTCTCACTCTACACACACACATTCACACACCTGTTCCGCTCCCCCGCCCCCCTCTGGCGACCTTAGAGCGACCGCGACCGCTCCCGTTCCGTTTTTATTTTTTTCTTTTCGATTCAGTTGCCTTTTTAACTCCGCCGCGCGCGGAAACTTTTTCAGTCCGCTTAAAAAAAAAAGAATACTGCAGCACACTGCAGTTTCGTGTCTTTGGCGCCAATTTCAAAACGAAATCCGCTGGCGGATTCAATTCAACTTTGAAGTTTTCCTTCTTATTTCTTGCCCGCCCCGCTCCCCGGTATTACCCACGCCCCCCGCGCTGTGACTCCCATGGCAGCTAGCAAACTTAATTGCGGCAAGCTATCGACAGCCTCACATTTCGATGCGACATGTGCGAAAATCAGCGCCTTTTACTTTGACCTGGACAACACGTTAATTCCGACACGGGCCGGCGATTTGAAGGCTATCAGAAAGGTGAGCGACTACTCTTAACCGCCGCTGCTGCCCCCTTTTTTGCCTTTTTTTTGGGGGGTGAAAGTGCGCAGCACAGCTAGAAATTTTCCACTGCAGCCCGCCGCCTGTTGTGTTACGTAGTCGAGAAACCATAACCCGGACGCTCAGCTGATAGCACGCGCCCGAAATTCGATTGTTTATTTGCGTCTCGTTCCGTTCCGTTACGTTACGTCCCATTTCCCCACCAAACCCCACCCCAAAAAACACTTAGTGCACTCTACAAGGTCTTGACTTAAATATAACCACGGGTATATGCACTCGAGAAGGTTATCGGCATGATAAAACCAAAATACGAAATCATCATTTGGTTTAAGTCACCTAATTTACATTTGACTTTTAAAAGTCCCTCTTTCAAAATGAATTGAAGAAATGAGGTTTAAATCTCTAAACTTTATTATTGGTTCAATATATCATTAGGAATAGGTCGCAAAAATGTGAAATGTATTTAATGATTAAATAAATATATCCTAAACATAAAGGCATATGTATGTACTTTAGGAAGTTGTCGTCATAATACAGGAAACATTTTAAAATCCCCGTAATGGAAGCCAAAAAATTTAAATCAAGTGTAATGAACTTTAGGAGGTTATTGACATCAAAGCTATAATAACAAATAATACGAACTCAAATAGCTTCTTAGTTAAAATCTTTGAGTGCCAACTCACCAAATTTCACTTACAAATCTATAGGTTTGAATTAGAGAGCTTTTTAACAAAAAAAAAAATTTTAAACATTTTGTTTAACCTTTCAATTAAGAGTGTCTTGTAACTTTGTTAAAAACAATGGGTTACTTTTTTAATCCCAATAGAACCAAAAAAAAAATTAGAAATGTTTGATATCATAGATATAAACGCATTAGAAAAGTAAAACAAAATATGAAACTTAACTTTTAAAATGGATAGCTTCTATAACTTCATATATTGTGAATTGCCAAAAACCAATTGCACCCAGAATCCTTGAAAGACACGGCATCTTAAAAGCTTACTTAAGTATTAAGAAATGAGGGTAAAATCCAGTAAACAAAAACATTGTATTAGCTTTCGAAATCGCGAAAATATTGGTACTGTTGGCCATAAATATCTTGTTATCTCCATTTCACCTTAAACAATGCTTAACTTGAATAAAGAAAGTGATTCGTTAAAACTTTGAGTATGTCACGTACATTTTCGTACTTATTTTTTGCATTCCTGATAATTAAATAATATTTTAAGCTGTGCTAATAAAGATAGTTAACTTCATTATCACATTTGTGTTTTAACATGCTCTGTTTAGACCCTAAATAAAGTCATGGTTATTAGGCGTTTTCTTTATTCAGTTGTTTTAAATTATTATCAGAGGGAACCTACATATTAACATTTTCCAACCTATCATTACGTAGCGTGTATTTTTTAGGATAGTATAAAATGTTTGCTGATCATACTGAACTTGCTGGTTTTACAATGACTTTTATTTCGATTTCCATAAACTTAGTGGGGAAATAATACGATTAAATAGAACTGTATTTACCCATAATTGTTAGCCGGAAAAAAGATAACTAATGGAAATTTCCGAGCTATCATTGCGCCCATGACTGTGCAGTTATACACGGAGTATATAATATATGACATGTGTATCGGCGGCAATTGCAGTTTGATGATCAATGCACTGATAGGGCTAACGATTACGGCATTACTTACGATTAACCAATTGGCTTCGATTCGATCGGATGATTGAACAAACCGACGCTCTTTATGGACGTAATGGTTTCGATTTACGTATTATTAAATATCTCTGAACATCAAAGTTATAACATTAGTGTTAATGCTTAGAAAATAGCGAAATCGAATTTATTTTCTAAATGAATCATTCTATAAGAATATATGTGTCAACCCCAAAAATAAACTTTTTTTGTTAAAACATTTAAAATATCTTTGTTTTATTTTCGCTGTTAAGATTGAATTGATTGTTGCATTACTAGTCATTTAAATGGAGTCATAGTTTAAAACGAAGTACTCATTGGTTTTGATTCACAGTTTTTTACTTATCTAGTCTTTATAAAATGCACTGTACTGTATTTAATCTCTTACATTATTAGGAATGAAGTATTTTATATTTCTTGAAAAACTTCAGGGCAGCAAAGGAATCCTAAATATATTAATGTTTTTCCCCATCCAATTCCCAGCTCGCGGACGTTTTGGAGAGTCAGTACCAGTTCAGCAAAGATGACGCCGCTCAGTCCACCCAGAATTTCCTAAAGGCCTTCCGCCGTTGTCCGGACAACTCGCAAACATCGCTGGATACGTGGCGCACTCACCTGTGGCGTGAATCCCTGCCATCGCGCCACAAGCACCTGGCGGAGCAGATCTATCCGCAGTGGTTGAAGTTGCGGTATCGCTATCTGGCCGTGCCGGCGGACTATGTGCAGCTGCTGCTGCGGATGCGCCAGGCGGGCTATGCCCTGGCCCTCATCACGAACGGACCATCGAATGCCCAGTGGGAGAAGGTGTCCAAGCTGCATGTGTGCGGCTACTTCGACTTGGTCCTGGTCTCATCGGATCTGCCGTGGGAGAAGCCGCATCCGGAGATATTCTATGCCGCCTGCAACTTCCTTAAAGTTAAACCGCAGCAGTGCGCCATGATCGGCGACAAACTGGAGACCGACATCAAGGTGGGTCAACGTTCTATTGGCTTTATGAAAACAAATATACACAAAATACCTAGGCATTTAAATATTTTCATTTAAAAGCCTAAAAGGTCATTTTTTTAGTCAAATTGGTTAACTACATTTTAAATATCGTTTTTGATATGAAACATTTTTGCTTCTAATGTGTTATGTTAAACTTAAACTTGTTAAAATATCAATTGTAATTTTGAATATTTGCAATTTAGCTCAAAAGCAATTGTTTTTATTGTTTTACTGTGCCTTAGGCAAATGTAATACTTAAGAGAGAAAAGGATTAATTTTAAATTATTGCTGAATTTATAATCAATTCAAATGTCCTTGCTGTTTTTAGGGTGGCCACTTGGCCCAACTGGGTCTCACCTTCTGGACGCCACTGAGCAACAGCAGCTCGGCAGCTCAGTCGCTGGAGGATGTGGAGTACAAGCCGCACGTTAAACTGGGCAATCTGCTGGAGATGTACAAGTACTTCCCGCGCCTGAATGCCGTCGCTCCGCCGGACACGACGTCGTCCGCCAGACGACGTGGCAGCCACATGAGTCCCAGTGGCCAGAGCACTTCCAGCAGTGGGAGCAGCTCGAGTTCCAGCTGCGAGCCGGGAGCTGGCCATGGGTACAATCATCACCACCATCACCAGCAACATCAGCAGAGGCAGTGGCTCTATCGACGCGGCGTTTCCCTGCCCGCCATGGACTGCTCCAATAGCGAGGCGGAGAACAGCTGCGACAGCTTCCTCTAGACAGAGAAATCGGGATCTAAGGGATCGAGAGGATCAAACAAGGATCGGGAGATTGTTGAAAAATGTACCTTCAGTTTACAAAACTATAGCTAAAGTGGAAAGATCGTTGAAATGGATGTAGTAATCACAGATGGACGAAGGACAGCCAGGAGGATTGGAAACAAATGCAGGAATTTAAAGTTCAACTATTAGCGGGGGGAGCCCGGAACCACGGTGAATCTCGATATCTGCCATTAGACTAAAATTAAGGCTAGCAAAACAGCATCGGAGCACACACAAACTACAGCAAACTACAAATACAAACACTACAAGCGAAATAACTAAGGAAATCGAGGACAGGAAGCAAAGCAAACCAAATGTATTTTTCTAAGCGAATTTTCTGTCACATATTTTGTAAATTGATATAACACGCAGTTGAAAGTACGTCAAGGTAACGTGAAAAACACAAAAAAAAAAAGAGAAAACGACGGAGTAAACCACACAAGAACCACAATACGAACCTTATGAGACACTAACGAACAAAAAAAAAAAGGAAAAGCCGAAGCACTAACAAATCTGTAGTTATAGCATGACGATGGATGAGCGTGAATGTTAACTATTGTCTTAGTCGTAGCCTTTAGCCGGGTTCGGAAAGCGGGGTCTCGAAATTGTGTGAGCCCCACTCTGTTGGCAAATTGTTATTTGCAACCACCTCCTCCCCATTTACCCACGCCCCGCCCCCAAAACCCCTGGTTATTCCGCACCCACACGAAAAGTTGATGATATATATGGTACATATGCCAGCATGCGTATGTCGAAGCACTGTTGATCATGGATATGGAAAATAAATGACACTGCAAAAGTTGAAACAAATGGAGTTTTCGTTGGTACACTCGGCGGTTTGTCTAAACATCTATCTTTTACAGGTGTTACACTTTAAAATCAGATTTTATTGGGTTAAGTTTCGGACTCTAGGAATTCCATCAAAATCGTAGAAATAGCTAACAAGAAAATAGTTCAAAATATTTATCAATTAAATATATGTTAATTGAAATTACCACTACGAAATTGAAGTAAAAGGATGCTAGTTATTGGGTCAAATTAAACAGGGACAGGGATAAAAAAAGTAATACAGTGGTGCTCATAGACTTAAGCCACAAGACTTCAACCAAGAATTTAAACGTTTTTAAAGTTTTTATTTCACAGCTCCAATTTTTGTTGTCACATTAGTTCTATATATCAGTGTTCAAATAGAAGAACAACCAAGTTATAAAAATATATATTCAACGAAAAACTAAAAAAAACTGAGACCATCTCCAAAATGTCCTGCTCACATACTTAAGCCACCTGGAAAAAATGGTTGAAAAAGTTAAAATTTGCCCAATATTCCTTATACTTTTTATAAATTTACTTTAATACTGAGTGGGATGACCTTTCTGCTTAAGAACAGAGGAGCAACGCTTTGGCATTGAATCCACAAGACGTGCGCACTGTTGAGGGGTGATTTTCTTCCACTCTTCTTGCAAAATTCGCCACAAATCCTTTTTATTTGCTGGTTTTTTTTGGCCAACGACTTGTTTAAGAATTCCCCACAAGTTTTCTATAGGGTTCAAGTCGGGGCTCTGCGATGGCCATTGCAAAACATTGATTGCCTCTTGGTTAAGCCACGACTTGACTATCTTGCTGGTGTGCTTCGGGTCGTCGTCCTGTTGAAATATCCAGGCAAGTGGCAAATTATCGGCATATTCTCCGGATAAATTGTTAATAAGGATGTCCCTGTACATTTCGCCGTTCATAATGCCTTCTATCTTCACTAGGGGACCTACGCCCGATGCGGTGAAACAGCCCCAGACCAAAATCGAAGCGCCACCATGTTTAACGGTCTTCTTCGTGTATTTGGGGTCCAATTGTTTGTTGGGAGGACATCGTACATATGGTTTACCATCACTCCCAAGGACATTAAACTTGTATTCGTCGCTCCAAACAATCATGTTCCAAAAATTGGGACCTTTTTGAATATGCTCTCTGGCGAATTGAAGGCGCTTTTTAACATTTTGAATGGACAGCAATGGTTTTTTTTGGGCAATGCGTCCATATAACCCGAATTCATTTAGCCGTCTTCTTATGGTCTGAGCTGACACATGCACGCCATAATCTGCCACCATTTGACCTCTGATTTGCGTCGAAGTCAAGAACGGATCGGCTGTACTGATTTTGGCGATCCGTCTATCGTCGTTTAAAGTGGTTTTTCTGGGCCTTTCACGTGGAATATTTTCCCAGGTACCATGTTTTTTTATAAAATGCAATGGCATTTCTGACTTTGCCACGTGAAAAATTTAAAGTCTTACAAATTTGTAGAATACTTGTGTTTTTTTCGTAATATTTCCATATTAGCTTTCTTTCGGCCGGATTTGTATTTTTATTTTTAGCCATAGCGGTCAAATTGTTTTGGGAAACGTATTTAGTATTCAATATTTTAGTTTATAAAATAACTAGCACAGCTTTCCCGGAAAAAACACAAGTTTGACGATTTTAGCTCAAGGTGGCATAAGTATATGAGCAGAGCGTAACACTGCTTTTTGACATTTAGTCAATTTTTTGGGAACCCCCGAATTCCTACTTGTAATTTTTTATGTGATCAGCTGCTTAAATAACAGTTTTGTAAAATGTAAAAATTTCGGGCCGAAATAATTATGTTCAAAAAAGTTATTAAGAAAACAGTTTATGGTAGTGGCGGTGGCTTAAGTCTATGAGCACCACTGTATATCATAAAGATTTATAAATCTAACACAATGTAAATATTTATATGCATCTCTTTCTAAGGCATGACATATCAAAATATCGTATAATTGTTTTTCATTTCCCGTATTAGTATTGAAACAAAAATCGATTCCTTTTAATCATAGTAAAATAAGCTTTAGTTTTTTATATTTATTTTGGGGGATTTTGTTGTTTATAGACTACAAATACGCTATACGGTAAAATGGTATATCGCTTGCAGAGTCAGCAAATAAAAGTTATAACCAACACTGAATTTTTCGCAGTTTAATGCTAACGTCAACTGGCTGTATAATTGTTTGTTGTTTGTTTTTTTTCCTTTCACATATACCATACATACATATACACACGATTATTCATATACATATATAATTATAATCAAAAAAAAAGTCGGTTACAAATTACACGTTTTAAAAAGTCGAAAACGGAACATTTTCACGCGATACCGAGGCATATTGAAAATTCGGCTGGCTAGCTAGGCTTGCTCTTGGCTTTTCTTAAGTTCGTTATTTTTACGCATTTAGTTTCTTTTACAAAAGAGCACTTTTCAGACTACAAAATACCCTAAGAACCTTTTACCGGAAATGGATTATACATAGATAATGGACAAAAAGAATAAGAAAACGAAACGTAACATAACATGGAGTAGTTGTTTTGTAGAGGTTGTTGTTATCGTAGTAGTTAATAGCAGTTGTTGCTGTCGTCGTAGTATATAGTAGTAGTTATCGTTTTTTGTAAAGCATTGTACAACTTTTCCGCTTAAGTGTTAAACCGATGGTTCACCCATCCTACGTTTCCTGCCCATCTCACTCCGGGATTGGCCGTGTTGGTTGCTCTGGCTTTATCGTTTAGTTGCGTGTCGCATTGCCCGCATATATCTCCTCGATCTTTTTCCTGCGCTTCGTCAGCAGCGGATTGTTCGACTTGTCCAGCGCCTTGATTTGCATCTAGAAATTAGGAATAATACGTTTTATAAATAAATATTTAAAGAAAGCACATATAATTTACTATTTTGTGGGATTTTCTTTTAATATTATTAATTATTTTGAAAATGATTGTTTTATAGATTGCATAGAAATTTGTATGAAAAATTATAACCATTTAATTCATTTTATAAATAAGTTTTTCAATTTGTTGGAATAAACAGTGAAACAGGGCTCACGTATTAATTATTCTAGGCGCATTAACCTCCGATTTCCTTGTTAGTTTGTTAATTAGTGACTTTAGAAGTCACGATTAAAAACAAAAGAGAGAAACGAGAAAGTATACTTGCAAATTGCTAAAGCATATATCAATTGAGATCTATTATCTTAATATATAAACAAGTGAACTGCAACGATTGCACACAATAGATTATTAAAAGCCAATGAGTTATGTTATGTAATAAAAGAAATCAAGTTAAATCTTCATTGCTGTTTTTTCGGCAATCAATTAATATGTAAAATACTTATATGCCATTTTGTAGAGCAACACGTTTAATTCCAGGCTATGGCGTACTTTTATTGATTGAAAACTAACTATTAATAATATCCTGAATTAAAATTATCTCTATAGCTCTGCCTAAATCCCATCATGAAAAGAGACCCACCTGATCGTAGTCCACGCGCATGGTGGCCAGGGAGCGCGTCATCTCCTCCTGCACTTCCGGCCAAGTTTCCTCGCCCTCCTTGAGCATCCGACCCGTGCAAAGTGGCGTCTGTGGAACGGCATTGAACTGAGCGATCCACTTGTTGCGGATCACATCCTGGATGCGTAAACGCTTGCTGGGATCCACATTCAGCATGCCCTTGATCAGATCTTTGGCCGCCGGGCTCACATTCGTCCACTCCGGATCTGGAAAGTCGTACTGGCCGGTGCGGATGCGCTTCTTCATGCCCGGTGAAATGGCCAGGCCGTGGTTGCTGTAGAACGGCGGGAATCCGCACATAATTATGTACATCACCACGCCCAGCGACCAGATGTCACAGCTCTTGTCGTATTTTTCCGGACCCAAAACCTCGGGAGCTGCAATAAATGCATGATTAGAGAACATTCAGAGAGCACCATTTAATGTTAGCTTAAACATAAATTAAAATGGGAACATTTGGAAAGTAATTCACCATCAGCTATAAAGCTAAGTAGCTAAGGTTTATTCTTCTTAATTTTATTTGAATTAAAAGACGTGACTTAAGGTATGTTTAAACAATACATGAAATAATTGTCTAAATATATTGTTGTATGCGGTGTCCAAAAAAACAGTACTTAAAAACAAATAAACTATTTTATAAGCTTATCAGCAATCTCCTTAAGATTTCTTGCAAATCAAGTAGGTCGCACGGTGCAACTTTCAAACAACTCTTTCGCAAGTGGGATTGAGAACAAGGCTGAATAAAATTAGAGAAACTAAAGGAAAGTTCGCCCAATAAATTATGTAACGAGGTTGGCACAGAAAGAATCTCTGGTGATTTAAAAACGCTAGTTAGCTGAGTGACATTGTATTGTACCTATTTCAAATGTTACTATCAGTTAAATATAAATCATATTAGAGTCATACAATTTCCGGCCTAAAAATTACACTGTACACATCTAAATAAGTGATCAGCGGATTTGAACAATCGACAAGCTATTTTTCGTGACTAAGGCGGTAATTGACATGCTTCAAAACTAGGAACTGGTGAATAATCCCATAGAGAAGCACTCACCCACGTAATAAGGAGTGTAGCAGGGCGTCTGCAGCGTGTCATTGGTGAATGTCTCCTTGGCGAAGCCAAAGTCCGTCAGCTTGAGGGTCGCATTCGGCTGCGAGGTGGTGTACAGCAAGTTCTCCGGCTTCAGGTCGCGATGCGCGATATCGCGACTGTGCAGATAGTCTATCGCCGCGCAGATCTCGTGCATTATTTGGGCCGCCTCGCGTTCGGTAAATGCCCCATCCGCCTTATCCTGAATGCGCTGGAACAGCTCACCGCCCTCCATGCACTCCATGACCACCAACAGGCATTTCCTGCCGCTATAAGTGTTCTCGTAGACATCGATAATGTTCACAATGTGCCGGCATCCGCTGACCCGCCAATGGAGATCCACTTCGCGACGGGCCTTCTCATTATCCAGTAGCACCTTGAGGGCATAGTTCTGTTTGGTGCGGCGGTGGGTGCACTGCACCACCTTCCCGTTGATCCCTAGTCCCAGAACCGTGTCCGAGATCTCGTAATCGTCCACCAGGGCGGTGGTCTTCGGTTGCCGTTGGTTCTGCAGCGAAAGCATTCTGGAATCGGCTGATCTCTAACTGCAATGGAGAAAATATCAGTAATGTATAGATGATATTACAAATGTTTCATTGGTTTAATATATAAAGGTAAACAAAAACTGTATATACAAAATATCAGCTTTCTAACAAAGAAATTTTTAATTTTATATTAAAAATCAGCCTTTTAAATATTTAACTAAGCTTAAATTGAATTTTTAATTAATCAAAACTTAAGCTAATTGTTATTTAGCTTCTGCTTCGAGCATAGGAAATAATTAAAATATTTGTGCAATTAAAAAAAAAAATCATTCCATACACATATTAATAGTCCACAGAAATCTAATTTTGGTTAACAATTTATAGGCAGCTTATTTGTTTAATGATTTGGTGTTCATTGGGGGCCCTTAAAAAGTAGCTGCTCTGAAGCAATCAATTTTATTTAATTATTATATATTTCAAAAGTATAGATGAACACTGGTTATAAATGTAAAGTTCAGTTAAGCTAGGTGTGTAGCAATTAAGTATTTTAATAATTAGCAATTAAGTTTGAGGGCGAATTTTTGAGGGAATCCCACTCACGTAAAAAATAAAGAAATAATGATTAAAAAAGGTATCAGGGTCTTAATTGCAATTATATTTTATATGCATTAGTTATTAGTATTATAATTTGAATTTTTGGATGGTAAATAAAAAGTATAATATTAATGTTAACGATATTGTTGTACTTTTAATACATTTTCGTCATTAGAAATAGAAAGTACACTTTGACGTGCGCAACTTTACGCTTTTCAGTTATCCAGTCTTATATATGGACATTCATATGTACATATGTATGTATAGATATGCAGATCCCAAAAACTCAAAGCGCTCCGATCTCTAGACTGGATTCAAATTGCATGCAAATGAACATACAGAAAAGAAGAAAAAATATAAAGAAAATCAGGGGCGGGGGAAATGGATGGGGCGGCTAATTAAACCCACACTCGCTGCATATTTTCATGTTTTTCCGGGAAAAAAAACTATTACACAATTTATTTTTTACGGGGAAAACAGGAAAACGGTGCTATTGCATATGTTCGACATCAATAATCGGTAAATATCGATAGGCGATATGGTACAATTGTGTGCGTGCGCTGCTGATGAAATGAATGTTTTATTTTGTTTTTGTTTATTTCGAGCACATTACGCATTGCTGAAAAAAAACTAATTTTTTATCTCCTGTAAAATTGGTTAATTAACGCATATTTTACTACCCACACACACACGCACACTGAGAAGCCCGCGCACACACGCACGGATATCTATACAAATGCAAACAATGCGTCATGTTTTCTCACTGTTTAACTAGCATTTTCTATTTTTCTGGTTTTCACTGTACACGCCAGTACATTTTTTTATCTTGTTATCGCTCTTCGATCGTTTTCAGGTGGCCCTGATTTTTTCTGGCCACGCGATTTTGTTCGCCTGCCGACCGCTTTATTAAATATTGCCCGCATTATCACCTGCTGTTCAGCTGATCGTATTTACCTTTCGGGTACTTATTTAGCGTGCTATGTAACCGAACGAAAAAGAACAACAACCCGAAATTTATAGTTATTTTGTGTAAATGCCAAGTGGTGTGACCAGGCGGCTCTCAATCCAAAACACACTACAGTGTCATGAGCGGTGATTGTCCCATCATTAAAGAAAACAATCGATGTTTTTGAATAAAAAAAAGTACCAACTACTTCGAAAATAAAATTGTTTGTTTTTTAATAATTTGTTAATAAAACAAGTAAGAAACTTTATTTGCATTTGGTCAACACTCTTGGTAATGAAAAGGAAAAAATATTGATATTATTGAGAACTTGAATATTAATTTTCATAGATGTTTATTTTTTAGTTCCATGATATATTGTAAAATAAAGTAAACAAAAACAAGAAAGGAGGAGGGCTTCAAAAACCAATTTTAATAAAAATTAACTATTTTAGAAATGTGAACTCTAACAAAAATTATTTTATCGATTTCCCATGACAATTTTTATTCAACTTCTTTATTAATAATATTTATTGCGATTTTCAAATAGTTAGAAAACATTTTTACGAATTTATATAAAAGCCTACGCAGATGAAGAAGAAGGCAACAAATTATTCCGGATTGCTGCATAGATAAAATGATGTACACCCATAGGAATGCAAATCCATTTTTCAAAAATTAAAACTAATCTGAAAACACAGTTTTTTAGAGAATTAAACCACAATCATTTAGAGATATGCCACAATCGGATGTCTGTACGAAAATGTATGGGCTTAGAAGTGCAGATTTTGGTCACTTTTCTGCAAAGCCATTTTTCGAGAATTTGGAAGAGGTAACCCCTTATAGAAATGACGAAAAATCGACCAAAAATTAAAAAATAAACTGAGAACGCAGTTTTTTAGATAATTAAACCACAATCATTTAGAGATATGCCACTTTAAAATCGGAAGTCTGTACGAAAAGTTATGGGCTTAGAAGTGCAGGTTTTTGGTCACTTTTTCGCAAAGCCATTTTTCGGGAATTTGGAAGAGGTAACCCCTTATAGAAATGATGAAAAATCGACCAAAAATAAAAAAATAAACTGAGAACGCAGTTTTTTAGAGAATTAAGCCACAATCATTTAGAGATATGCCACTTTAAAATCGGATGTCTGCACGAAAAGTTATGGGCTTAGAAGTGCAGGTTTTTGTCACTTTTCTGCAAAGCCATTTTTCGAGAATTTGGAAGAGGTAACCCCTTATAGAACTGATGAAAAATTTACCAAAAATTAAAAAAAAAACTAAAAACACAGTTTTTTTAGAAAATCAAACCACAATCATTTTGAGGTATGTATGCCACTTTGAAATCGGATTCTTGTAAGAAAAGTAATGGGGTTAAAAGTGCAGTTTGGAAATATGTGCTATAGTCTTCCGATTTTTATAAAATTAAAACTAGATTGACTTGCCTAGTGATGCTGATCAAGAATATTTTTACTTTAAAAATTCCTATGTTAACTTTGGGATATAGACCTCCGATCATATGCGTTTTTAAACCATGTCGCTAACACAATTAATAAGAGAATTAGCTTTAAAGTAAGCTGGTAATCGGTTAGTTAAGCTGATCAAGGATCACTGAGTCACATACTTCTGACCAAAATTATACTACTCTTTGCAAGGGTAAACGAATCCTTTACAATCGATACAATCGATTAAATTCGAAGCTATCGCATCACCCGTTAGGATATACGTTGCTCTCCCATCTCTACTACCTGCTGTCTACAATTAAAAAGTAAATGTTGTTGCCACGGCCAAACTGACGATGCGCCGCGTACGCTGAGCCTCGTGTCCGCACCCGTGAGGACCCGTATCGCATCCCCGAGATCCGTGCTCTGGGCCCCCGGAAAAGCCACTTAAAACCCATAATTCGACTGCTTTCGGTCCGTTTTTATTGGTTTGCATTGGCACAAAAACAAACAAGCAAACAAACACACAGACTCACCAGGATATACCGAGGAAAATAAGATATATAGAAGGCGGAAAAGTATATTCTCCTTGCCCGATTTGGTTACGGACTAGCGCGATATGTCGCGCGTGCTTAGTCCCCACAAACAGGGCGTGGCAGAGGCGGACGGGCTGGACTATACAAACAGCAGCTCGATCATCGAGTTTCTGGCCAAGGAACAGGACTGCGGTGGCATACTAACGGATCCGGATCCGGAATCTATTTTCCAGGAGGTGAGCCGCCTGTCCGACAGCACGGACATGCGCTCCGTGGACGAACTGTTGCAGGAGGCGGAGCGCCTGATCCAACAGCAGTTGCGTCTGGGCGGCATTGCCCCGGAAACGGAAAGTTCTGGGCCCCACGTGCCCTCCAAGACCTTTGGAGAGGAAGCTGCCCCCGGAGATGGCTCATCCTCATCCCCGCAATCCTCGCCCCACAGCAGCATCCGACTAAATACACGCTATACCCATCGCATTGAGCATTTGCCCACTCCTTTGCCGCCAAAATCTGCTGGAATCAATGGTAAAATCCGACCAAGATCCGGTTCCAAATCCTCGGCATCGCCCACATCCGTTCAGACGCCACTGGACAGCAATAATGGCTGTGGCTTTGCCGCCTTCGTCGAGAACCTGCCCTCGGAATCGGTCATTTCCGAGGAGTCCACGCCGAAGGACATGGACATGGAGAACCACACGGCGGCCATGGCGCAGCTGCAAATCCAGCTTCAGGATAATACCGACGATGACGAAGATACGGTGAGTGCGAAGGTTGCATATATATATTTTAGAGACACCTTTACCAGGTTTATTTTCTCGTTTATCCAAACTGGTTTGTATTGTTAAGGGTTTGGTCATGCATCAAGAGTTAATGGAAGAATATGATTTCCTTTAAAATTTAAATTTAAAAACCTTATAGTCTATTTCGGTTCAACGCTTGAATTGGGATTAATTTTTTGAGATCTGGTGGTCAAAAAAGTTTTCAGAACTAAGATTTGGATGATGAATTCATTTTTTACTACCAGGACTTGGGGAATATTCAAGCTCCGACCTTATCCAACAAATACCATGTAAGAGTTAAATAAACTATTCTAAATGCACATTTCTCAATCTGTTTTGTATTTAATTGAATTCTAAGGAAGATTTGTTTAACAAAATGGAAAAAGGATTTTTCTGCAAAAGAATCAGGGTATCCTTCAATCAGTGTTCTTTGTTTTACTGATGACTAGTTGGATGAGATCCATTCTGAGATCTCTTAATATCGCCCAAATAAATTCTTTAATCAATTTGTAGTAATAAATAGCGTAGATTCGTTTATTTTTCGCCGTACGAATTCAAAGGATACAGCGCCCACCTTAAAAAAAAACACACACACTGTGACAGACCCAAACACGCAAACAAATCACATAAATAATCCTTCACACACACGCAGTTCAAACACACAAGGTGGGGTGGAAAAGGTGACAGAGATTACAAATTAAACCGAGATTTGAAGAAGATTAGGCGGAGATTCAACCTGACGAACTGGGACCAATTGCCTGGGCCACCGTTTCCGTCACCGTCCAACCTTCGAGAGCCGTGTCCTTGATAAAACGAGGTGGCAGGACAAAGCCGTATGCGCCACGATCCCTCAGCTCGATGGTGTACACATATTTGACACCCAACGCGGCACGACTCCAATCGTCGGAACCGCCACCTGCGATTCCCAGGACCTCGTGGGTAACCGCCGCTCTGTATGCCGTGCCCGTCTTCTGGACAATGCGCTCCGCTGCCAGGCTGGCCACTCGCTGCAGGACACTCGAATCCTTGACCTTGACAGCCTTGTAGGCCCACGGATAAACGATCATCTGACCGTAACTGTGGAAAGTCAAATACGATTCCAGATTGTACTTTCTCTTGGCCAAAAACTCCGCCACCGCTCGCGTTTCCTGTTCTGAGGCTGGCGAGGATCCGCGGTAGGTGTCACTGCAGGGATTCGTCGAGGATCCGTATCCATTCCAGCCGATATCAAAGTTTCGGTTGAGATCCACACCATTGCACTGGGCACGGCGCGATGCTGAGCGATTCTTGCGCCACAAGCGGTTGGTCGTCCGGCTGTATTCGTAGCCATCAGGATTCATCACCGGCATTATGTACCAGGTCAAGCCACGGATGTGCGCCGGCTGGTTCTCCCAGTTGGACATCAGTTGGTACAGGATGAAGGTCACCGTCGCTGGACTGATCCATTCGCGGGCATGGATGCCGCCGTCGATCCATACCTTCTTGTTCTCGCGGGGATTCTCCGAGATTCTAAGGGGAAATAAATAATATTAATTGGTTTGTTTGGCAGAATAGGGTGTAGAATAGGTTTATTCAGTCTTCGAAGTAATAGTAAGTTTAGAAATACTACAGGTTACTTCTTACATCCAACGATTTGATTATTGTCAAAAATGCCTAAAAGTAGGCCTTATCTTTTTCAATATCCTTTAAAATGCATTTAATATTTGAATACTTATGGGCTTTTTTACAGTTTTAGAAGATAATATATTTTAATAAAATATTTAAAACGTTTCTAGCCATAAATGTTTGCTGCTAAATATATATATAAACAATTTTAACTACCAATTGGACAGACATAACAAAAAATTAAAACTTAGGCATTCATTTTTTTGTTCTTTAACTAACAACTACACTTACCGGAGCACTTTTAAGTCGCGACCCTCGGCCGTCTGGCCAATAGTATACAATCGCACAATGTTAGGGAATTTGCTGCGAATCTCCCGCATAAAGCTATAGATGGTCTCCAGATCATGATAGTCCTTCCAGTGCATGCTGCTCCTAGCGGCCTTTTCTGTGGGTTGTTAAGGTGATAAATATTTAAAATTCCCGTTAAGTGGTATTCGTATATTTAATCCACTTACTCGTTCTCCTTCCCAATGAAGTGGCCTCAATGCCGCCGAGAAGCTCCTCGTCGATCATGGTTTGAATATTATGGGACAAAATCTGGGGATCCAGGCGATGGGCCGATAGAAAGCTGCGTGCCGCCTTTAATTGATCCCTAGCAATGGAGATGTCCAGAAATTTCGAGTTCTCCTTCCATATGTTGCCTCCGAACTTTTGCTCCAGCATTTGACCCACGGGCACACGGTGTTGAATTGCCTCCGAGATGTTGTAGATCCTCCAGAGTTGCGCCTCGTCGAATCGCTGAGGAATCTCATTGGCATCCAGATGAGTGAGGTTTGCGTGCAAATCGTTGGCTAAGCAAGCTGCTATACCTCCTATAAGGAGCAGCAGCACCAGATGAGTTCTTTGCGTCATCTTTTTGTTGTGTCTATCAGCAGGTCGACCTGAAAAAGCAATTCCGTAATCAGTAATCAGCAATCACCAAACATCGAGATGTTATCACTAAGAGCAGCTCCATTTATTGACTTCTGATCAGTGCTTTAAGACCAATGGCCTTCAGTCTTTAGCAAAATATACAAATTCTGAGCTATGAACTTTGCAGTAATAAGCTTTGAATATCACGATTTTTACATTGTTATTTGTGGATTCTAATAAGTCTCTAGTTGCTACCAACAAATAGTAATGACCATTGGCAGGTAAAGGTTAAAATAGTACACGCTTGTTTGGCTTGCAATAAATTGACGCTATTTATGGCCAAAGTGCTTGCTTTTCAGAGTCACTTCAATTGGAAAATAAACAAGCCTTGGTTAACTTAGTTACAGTGAACATATCACTTTTTTGTTCACTATATAAATATTTGTAAAACTAATTTGCAAATGGAAATCGAGTGAACCAACAAAAAATGTTATTAACCTAAAAATACAATTGCAAATTCAAGTTCCTCTAGTATAAATAAGTTTAAATCTGACCTTGTTTATAGTTATGATATACGTTTAAAATGGAACCAATCGTATAACAACCAACTCGTTCAGGTAGCGAGAACTGAATGCAAAACGAAACTAAAAGCAAACTCCAACTGGTATCAGTGAAAATAATTGTTACAGAAAAAGTTCGTCTAATTACCGGCAAAAAAAGCAAACAACACAAAATATAAAAAAATGTTTCCGTTTCATTGTTAATGGTTAGGGTTATCTAGATATGTGAGTTACTCGTAACCCTGTTTTTTGTGTGTTTGTCATTGCCAATAAGTAATTAAAAATGGTAGATAGCGTTAATGGTTTTGCTAATTTTTTATGGAAACACGAATGTGTTGGAGAATTTACTTGCCTACACAGAAGATTATTTTACTTTTATTAAAGTATTAAAAATAATGAGTTGGTTTTCATAATACTCTTCATGATGGTTTTAACATTTATGTTTTCAGCAATGTAAAATAATATTTAAACAATGTTGGAAATTGGTTTGGAGTACTATTAAGAGATAAGAGATTAGGAAATATTTAAAATATCCAAAATAATCTTTTTTGTGGGTGTATAAATGCATTCCAGACAGGCAACAAACTTGATTTTCAGTATACATTCAAACACTAAACGAATTTGCATTGTTTTACGGATTCTAGTGGCGATCGATAGATCGATCGTTTGGATCGTGCGATCCGTGAGTTCTACCTGAGTTTTCAAAGTTCCGGGAGCGTGGGGCTTTTTTTGTTTTATTGACTCAATCAGAGTTTCGTTTTTTCCTGTTTTGTATGCACAATGATAGATGGGACTTACTACTGCGTCTTAGTAACTGGACCCTAAGATCTAGATTATGGGCAAAGAAACTTTTCCTGGTCTTCTTACGGATTTCGAAATGTCGTTTTTAACGCTTCTGTGCTAATTTCCCTGGCCCGTTTTTTTTTTCTTTAGGTTTTGTTTTCATTTCGGCTTTTTTATGGATGCGTATTTGTATTTTCGTGTTTATTTTCTTTTTATTGCCAGGCAGAAAGTGGCACTTCAACGGTGGAGAGGGTCGTCTCCGTTTCTCCGAGTCTCGTAGTCTCCGAGCTCCGAGAACTGGTTCTCGGCTTGGATCTGTCGAACCTCGAATCTCAGATCTCGGATATCGGGAGTCGAATGTGGAGTACGAACAGTTTCGGATTGGGTTTCGCTTTGTTTCGGTTTCAATTCGCTGCTGTTCACCTCGACCTTCGTGCTTCCCGTTCTCCTTCCATTAACTCAGTCATTTATACCTGCATGTCATTTCAAAATGTAAACAGTTTAAGAATATATTGTAAGATCTGAATCTGAATCTAAAGCTGTACAAGTAACATTTTACTCTTAAATCTATTCAACTTTTAACCTTAGGATCTGACTCTAACCGACAAATATCGTATCTTCTTTATTTGTTATATTGTTTTTTGAAGTTATCTCTTTCAATTTCAGTGAAAATGTATTTATATGTGGCCAAAAAATTAAAATTTAAAAACCTGCATTTGCATCTTGCTGTGCATTTTGCACTTGGCACTTCCGCATTTGCTGTTATGGCTTTATTTACTCTTATTTAATACAATGTGCCCTGCCTTATGCCTATTTTTACACTTCCTGACAATCTCCACACTTATCTTTTTGTAAATATTCCTTTCTTTTATACACTATCTGTCTGCAGTCTTCACCCTTATCTAAACCCTCAAAATGTTGTATTCTTCCTCGTTATCGCCTTTTTCTTCCGTCTTTATCCTTCACAGTCTTTCTTTCTTAATTTCTGCCTTATCTTAATTAATGATCCTTACCCTTTCTTTGATAAACTCCTCACTATCTTTTGAATTCCTCTGCCCCTCTTTGCATTCTTTTATTAGGTGTTTGCAATACTTTTTAAACTTTTATTTAAATGAGTAGTTTATTTTTTTTTGTTTTCCACACTTATATTTTGTAATTGTTTCTTTGTCACTTACTGTTATTTATTGTTGGGGATGCTTGTGCGCTATTCCAGTTCGTCTTCTTCCAGTTACCGGCTCTTCGAAAGAGAGTGCAATTGGCGAATGTGTATGTGTGGGAGTGTGTCGCTTTATTCGACTTCAAACTTATACTAAATGCTGCGCCTGTATGGGCGTCAATTTTATATTGCCGCTCTGCCGGCGCAAGGGAGCAAAAAAAAATAAACAAAAAAAAATATAAAAAAAAACACAATAAACGAAACCGATAATTTTAAAATAAGAAAAGGGGGGCCCCTAGTGTGCTGTAAATTTGCGCTGACCGACGACCGATCTTTAAAGCGATCGCCGCGTAAATGGAAATTGGAAATGGAAACGGCAGCGACGTCGGCAGCGCAGTGGCAGCACAGCAGCAGAGGCGGTGGCAGAGAGAGAGAGAGAGAGAGAGGAGCTCCAATGCTCCACGCATTGGCGCTATCTCTTTCTGACCTGCATCCCACGCCCACGCAAGCATCTGTCTCCCTTCCATCCAAGGCGACATTGACACTTTGAATCACTCACACTCACATGCAAGTTGCACTCAAATGCTTTTAACGGTTTTTACACCAAGGGGGCTGCCCACTTAATCACCTTAAGAAACAAAGTGATCGAAACACGATGAGACACGGGTTCAGTCACAATATTCTTCTTTTGAAATATCCGGCGAGGAAAGGTTTTACCCTCAGAATACTATTAAACCTGTTAAAAAACACTGCATTTAAGAGTTTAAACCGCCGTGGCTGCCCACTTGCTAATTCATCACCCAAACGATCAAAGTGATCAAAACATGCTGAGTCAGTTACTGCAATATTTTTTTATCGTACTAGGAACTTCCAGTAATACAATTTGTGAGGGCTCCTAGTAGAATGCTTCCCACATATCAACACACTAATTTATTGTGAATTGGAAGTACTTATTTGGAAATATTTCATACAGCATTGACGCTGCGCACAGGAGGCTGTCCACTTGCTACTACGTTTGAGAACTATAGTGATCAGAATTTCCACCTATCAAGATTTCTTAAGTATTTTTTTTATTCTGACAGTTTGCTACATAAACTAATCTGAAAGCCCAAAACAGTATAGAATATATGTATATAGCGTTTGCCAATTATTATCAGCGAAAATTCTTAGTGCAAGGTGTCAAGGGGCAAAGTTGGCGATCCCGCCATTTTACCTTATCTCTTCTTTTTAATCATCGATTGTTATGAAATATCAACAAAATGTAACAAAAATTACAAAAAAATAGTTTCTCTCTTTCCGACTGCATGTGATTTTTGAGCACAAGTGCGATTGTAAATTGGATTTACAATTGTATCACAAACTCAAAATCATCGCATGTGTGTGTGTTTGTTTAATGGATTTGTGTGATTGTGTTGCGGGGCGATTTTGACCCACTTGGCGAGTTTTACTTTCTTTCGCCTTTGATCACCTTGCCCCCGCCGCCCACAATTGAATTTATTTTGTTTTTATTTGTACGGCTACAGGCATTATTTATTTTTTTGTTTCTGGCTTTTTTCCGGTGTTTCACTGTTTTTTTTGTGGTACCCAGATTTTCACTTTTAACCCTTTTTTCGAGAGTTTGGCCACAATGGAAGATTTGTTCAGGGCACCTTTTTGTCTGTTGCTGTTTCATCGACCAGTTAATGCTGTATACACCTAAAAAAAATGGAAGTTGGTTTGTAAACCGGGTTTAAAAAAAAAATTATTGAGCTATTTTGTTTTCTGTTAAAAATAGGTGTTTTTAGACAGTTAAACATGATTCATGTTTTACAACTATCAAATAAATTTCATTTCGGTAGGGTACAAAATTTAAAATATGATTTTCTCTGATATCATTTTTATTGTAATATATATATTAATACAATAATAAAACATTAAAAAAATGTAAATAAAACTACATATTAATTTTTTTTTTATGGGACAGATATTCTTATTCTTTCTGTGTATATTTTATTGTTCGTTCTCCACTAGTTTTTGTTAGAAAGGGGTTTTTGCTTATTTATCTATAAATATTTGCTAATATTTTTTTTGTTTTCATATTTTTGGTTTATTTCTTTATCGCTTAAATCACTTTCTTCGGAAGCTTTGACTTTGACTTTGGCGGCAGGCGGCGATGGCCGCGGGCCTTTCGCTTAATTTATATATGCATGCACAAAATAAATCCAATCAAATATGCAACAACAAGAAGAGATAAAAAAACAATGAGAAAAAAAAAAATAAAGCGGCAAGAGCTGAAAAACAAAATATCGTAAGCGTTGTGGTTCGAGCTTACTGGTTTTTGAAACGCGATTGAAAGTGAAAGTTGGCGCTCGCTCTCTTTCGCTCTCTATTGCCGACTCTCTCTCTCTCTCTCAGCTTTCTATTTGATTTGCCGAGCATTCTTCTTAGGTATATTCCCCTTTTGGCCAGGTTTACATAAGATCGTTAATGGATACTGCCATTTACGATATGTGCGATTGCGAAACAGTCAATCGAAAATGGCAGCGAATCAAGCACATGGCCCCCAATAATAGTACACTCTTTTCACCGCCCACCACCCCCTAAAGAAAAGGGCCCGAAGAGAGTGGTGAAGAGCATTGGCCACACTCCGGAGAATTCGATTTTTGGGCCACTTCTTCAAACTGTTCTACGCGGGAGCTTTGCTTGCCCATGTTAGCCTGAAAGTATGCAATTTAAATTGAAGAAGAAATATTTTAGATATTTGAAAGATGAACCAAAGATTTATTTATTATGGTTTTGAATAGTTTTAAACAAAACTATAAGGAAACAGAATATTTTTGATATAAATAACTTTTTCCTGAAAAATAAATATATATATTTTATAGAGCAAATTAATTCTAAGAATAAATACAATAGTTTTGAGGGATAGCCTTCCCCAATTATCATTTTCATTTGCTGACATATGGATTATATTGTGAAAGGAAGTTGAGAATTTTTGCATTTAATGCAATTGCTGGGCGATGGTGCGCAGGAATTCGAAGACTTCCTCGCCGGACTCCACGATATAGTGCGGTGGCATCAGATAACCGTAGCGTCCCTGATCCTTGAGGAACATATTGAAAACCAGTTGCGGTTCGATGCGATCCTGGACCCAATCGGCAGAGTTTCCAGGCCGCGCCAATTTCTGGCGATAACTGCTTCCCGACGAGTATTCCGCCTGGTTTAAACGCCTCAGTGCGAGAACTGCCCTCCTTGCCGTCTGCTTGAGATCCCTCTGATTCTCCGTCACATAGTCCGCATCGCCCCAGGGATAGGTAATGGCCTGACCATAGCCGCCCAGGGACACGTAGGCACCCAAGTACTCCCGCATGCCGGAGAGGAAGCTTCGCAGGGCTCGGCTTTCCGGTTCGGAGAAGCTTTCGGCGCCGCGATAGAGATTCTTGCAGGGATTACTCGTCGATCCGGTGCCGTCCCAGCCGTACTCGAAGTTCCGGTCCAGATTAACACCGTAACACCCGCTGGCGGTGTCGAAGGCCCGGTTTTTCGTCCACAGGCGATCGGTGTGGCGCGAGTACTGGTAACCATCGGGATTTGCCAGTGGCAGGAAGTACCAATCGATGCGCCGCATCGCCTTCTCCGCCCTGGACTGCCTCTGACCTTGACCCTTGACCCCGCTCCTGCCCCACAGATGGGTCAGCTTCGAAATGGCGTAGGTGAGGGCGGCGGGGCTCAACCAATCTCTGGCCTGCAGTCCCGCATCCACAAAAATAGCCCAGTTATCCGGATTGCCATTGGAGACTCTATATATGGGGGTGTCAAAGAAAGATGGTCTTAAAAAATATGCTTCCTTATTTCAAATGGAGCCCAAAGGTTTGATTAAGTTGATTATGATGGACTGTATGTGACCCCTTTTTAAGTGATTTCAAATCGATAAAACCCACCTGATGACCTCCAGTGGTCTCTTGTTGCGCGTTACGCCGATCTGGACTATTTCCACATTTTCGGAGTACGTCTCGAGCAGCGTTTGCAGGAACTGCCGGATATCCGCCTGATCGTGGTAACGTCGCCAGCTCATCAGGGATCCCGGTCTTTCCATCCACGGCAGCGAATTATTACGCACGGAATCCAAGGGATGCTCCACGGCCGGAACTTCCACGTAGGTCTCATCGATGGCCGATTCGATGTCGTCGATCATAACGTTGTAGCTAAAGCCGACCTTCTCCATGAATTTCCGGGCATCGGCCACATTGCGCTGTTCGATGAGAATGTCGATGCCATCCTGGTTGATATTCCACACTTCACTGCCTGAAAGAAGTTGCAATATAATAACATTCCATATATGGATAGCCGATAAATGTGGGACTATTAAAGCGTTACTTGGGATTCATTTCTAAATTGTTTGTTCTTGCTTAAAGCATTTCATAACTAATACTATCAATATATTATATTAATAGTTATATACCGGTAATATTTATAAATTATAAAAGGTCGAAGAAATAATTGAACAACCAAATTAGGTTGAGTGAATATTCAAACAAAATTGAGAACATGAAAGTAGATAATAGTTTTTGCATAGATATCACAATAATTTTATAAACATTTTTGTTAAGCTAAATTCATTGAATTTTGAAATCAGGTTATTTTATGCTAAATTTTAATTTCGGAAATATCAACCGATAGAAAATGTGAGACAGGCCTTTAGAAATAATGTTAATAGACCAATTTTATGGCTAGTTTTCTAGATATTTGATATTCTCTCGTGTGTTTATACCAAAGTGCCGCCAAAAGGCTCTGAGTTCGGGCATTTCCAGCCGGGTTTCGTGGATCTTCCATAGCTGGAAACCGTAGTATCGCTGCACATGGCTGCCATTTCGGTAGCGTCTGTTGATTTGGTACGAGGAGCCCGGCGAAAGGAAGTCGAATCGGCGCAGATCCAAGGGCGATAGCCACTGCAGACCCTCGAAAGTGGACTCGTAGAGTTCGCTGCTGTTGAGGGTCAACAGGGCGAGGGGCAGACCGGAGATTCCGGAGATTTCCGGGACAGAGACGCTCCTCCAAAGCAGCAGCTTTTGGCCAAAAACTGCTCCGATCAGGGCCACAAACGCGAGCGCTTCCAGTGGCTGCATCTTCGAACTAAATCTATCTGGGTTCTGGGTTCTGGATTCCGAGTTCTGGGCTAGCGGTTCTCTGATTTATGCCAAAGCCACAAATTTATGCGTGCGAATGCGTGCTCAGGTGGCCGAGTTGACCTGACCTGCCCTGACCCCTCCCTAGTCCCGCCTTTCGTGAATACAGACGGGGTCAAGACAATAGCTCTCAAGATTAAGGTTTACATTATAATAGATTGACGGATTCAATCGGTGCAAGTACATGTTCTAGTTTTCAATTGCTACTTTGATTTCAAAACTATTTTAATTTTAAAATTAACAAAGATACTAACTATTTTTTAGATATTTTAATAACAGCAAAAAAGTTAAATCTAACATTTATGACTTTGGACCTATTTTATTTGACCAGAAACAAATTGCCGTTAGGAAACTAAGATTCAAAAATAAAAAAAGGTAACTATATTCGCAACCTCAACTGTGCTTCTAAGCTTGACAGTTTCTCTTCTTTTGTGCGGCTTGGCAGACTTCTTGAAAGCCCCTCCAGGGCATTATTTTTGACTCACCGAATAGGGCGACCACCTCGTTGAATTGGGCATCCGGTGAGGCCACCATCTGGCGCTCCTCCCCAGCCCCCTCCTCCGTCTCCTCCTCCTCCTCCTCCATGGATGAGCCCCAGGTGGCATTAAAGTTGAGCTTCCACAGTTGCGCACCGCGATAGCTCACATAGTTGGCATCCAAATCGCTGCGAAGCTCCGAGATTCGACCACGTTCGGGTGTGGGACTCATGGCCAACGGGTGGAGGTACCTCAGCAGGTGACCCACACCGCCGCCAAAAAATGGTAATCTCGTTAGTCGATTATCGGTGCGAGCTAAGTCCAGGTAATTCCTACCGCCAACTCGGTCCATTTTCGCAGCAATTAGCAGTACCAGAGGCAGCCACGCCCACTTCCAGAGGCGGAGTTGCATTTTATTGGAATATCGGCTTAGTTTCCTCTGTTTTTTGGTGTGCGATCGATTGGACAGTTGGTGCGGATTTAATGCGTTCGCAAATCAATTGGTGAGACGCAGCCTCCGGCTAACGGCTTCCCGCGTTCTCAATTCTATATTCTATATTCTCCGTTCTCTGTTCTCCATTCTCTATTCTCCTTCCTCCAAGCTACATTCTCCTTCTCTTCTGCCGCCCTTCTCCAATTCCCCATAATTCGCCCGATTCCCCAATTAAGGCCAACGCATTTGCATATTGACGGAATGCCAGTGGTTTTGATGCTTTTCATTTCGAACTTTTACTTTGGGTGAGGTGAGGTGTAAGATAACTGTCATACTGTTATATTCCCTAGAAGAGAGCCGCTACTGAATCTTTGGAAAGTGATTAGTGTTAATGTATAGTAGCTACTAAAATTGTGGATTTGTTGTTAATTTTTTTTTCTCTGTACCATTTGCTACGTTTTAAAGTTTAATTTACTTTTAAATCTCTATTAAATATGACAAATATGACGAAAATTCTCTTATTTTAAAGGGAAGTGTAATTCCATAACCGAATTAAAAAAAATGTTGTTTGCAAATTTGAAATATGTAAATGATTTTTAAAGAGAAGAAAAAGATCTTTTGGTTTTTAAGATTTTTTTTAACAATGAAGTCCAAAAGTAGTCGTAAAATATGCGGTCTGTTTTACCATTCTTACCAGTGATCAACTTTAATGACCCCTATAAAAAATAAATGCTTCGTTTTTGTTTTAAATTTTTAATTTTTTACTTTTTCAATAAACATTTTTCAGTCTATTTTGATGAGTTTTTTGTTTTGTTTTTGTGTGTTCTTTTGTGTGTGTTCAATTTGTCTAGTTACAAGTAGAATAAATAAATAAATAAATAGTATTCATATAAATAGCAAAAAAAAAAAAATCGATTAGGCTGATTTACAAAATAATCGCATTGAACTAAGTGGCAGGACTAGTGGCGACGCCTCCGGCTGCCACTGCTGTTCCTGGCCACCGATTTTCCGCGTCCTTGGGCAATGGCCCTGGCCACGGTGTCGGCGAAGGTCACTCCATCCTTGCCATTGTACTGGATGAACCGGGCGGGCAGGACGAATCCGTACCTGCCCGTGTCGCCCATCTCGATGGTGTAGGCGTACTTGATTCCCGCAATGCCCTTGGCCCAGTCATCGGAACCTCCGGCGGCGGGATACAGAGTTGTGGCGGAGGATCCCACCGTGTACTTCACGCCCGTCGACTTGGTAATGCTCTGGAAAAAGGAGTAACAAGTTCATTAGCAGGAGATTCTTGATTGGGCTTAAATGCGACACATGTTCATCATACATCTGCTGTTTCTATTTAAATATATATAATTATTTTGACTTTAAATCATCGTTAAGACCAGATAAGTGGTTCAAATATATATATATTTAGACTTAAAATCATCTTTAAGACCAGAGAAGGGTTCAAAATATATATCTTATCATATATATCTTGGTTTTTAACCTTTTTTAAGTGCTTCAAAAGTGTGTTGAGAATAATTCTATATAAGCTATGGCTTTCTAACTAATTTAAAAAGTTAGTTTAAGTGTCGTCAATTATATAAATTCTTATAAACTGTAACTGTAAACTCTTGAAACTTTGATGGGGCCATGGAAAGATATGAAAGCAATATCGGAGGGTAAAAGAGTGATTTTGAAAACTCACCGTTCCCGCCTGACGCGCCACACGATCGAGATCGGCGCGATCCTGGGTTAGCTGGTAGTCGTAGCCCCACGGGTAGAGGATGTACTGGCCATAGCTGTGGAACGAGAGGTACGCCTGGAAGGTCTCCCTCGGGAAGCCGCTGATGAACTTGGAGATGTAGAAGGTCTCCGGCTCGGAGAAGGCCTTGCTGCCGCGGTATGTCTGGGAGCAGGGGCTGGCGGAGGTGCCCTTGCCGCCCCACTTGTATCCAAAGTTGCGATTCAGATCCACGCCGGGACACTGGCGTCCATGGGCACGCATATTCTTGCGCCACAGCCGATCGGTCGTGTGGGAGTACTCATAGCCATCGGGATTGGCCACCGGATGGATGTACCAGTTGATGCTGCGCATGTGCTCGGGCAGGTCCTCCCATCCCTCGACCAGCTGGTTGGCGATATAGGTGACCGTTGCCGGACTGATCCATTCGCGGGCGTGCATGCCACCGTCGATCCAGACGCCCGGGTTTCGCTCATTGCCATTGGAAATCCTAAGGGGTAGAGCATTTACATAACGTTGCAGGAATATGGCTTTTCCAGTGCTGATACTCACTTGAGAATCTTGAGGGGTCGCTTCTCCACCGAGTAGCCGATGACCTCCGTGGAGCAAATATCCGGATAGGTTTTCGCCATGTAGTCAATGAAGCCGTGGATGTCCTCCAGGCGATGGTAGGCCTGCCAGGTGAGGCGGTGTCCTATGTCGCAGAAGATAAATGAAGATATGATGCATTAGCCACTGGGGTTCATTCAACTTTCTGTTAATTAAAGGGGAGCTTGGGAACCTGGAAACTCTGACCCTCAACTTGAACCCTGAACCCTGAACCCTTAACACCCGAAGAAGGCATATCCGTCTTGGCGTCGTCTGGCGTTCCCCGTTTCGCCGGCTATCGATTAAACAATAGCGTCTTGCAAGGACCTGGCCCTCTTCTCCGGGTGCGTTTTTTATCGGAGCTGGGTGGGCACGCGGCACGTGGCACGTGGCACGTTCCTATGGCAAAGCCACTTTGCGCTTGATGACTTTTCACACGCCCCTCGCCGAGTGCATTAAATGCTCGTTTGCGGCGACACCTCGCTGGCGAAAAAGGGGTGGCATCCGCCCACCACCTGATTGCACCACCTGTCACTCACAAGTCCTTACTCCAATAAAAATAATAATAAAAATGCAAATACCCCTGTGCCCACGAGTATTGGCCTGAATATAATTCAGAAATCACCATTTTCAAAGAAACAATGTTTGCTTCTATTTGGTTTGTTTGATATTTAGCTAGCTATAATAATTATTTTCTTTTTAAGTTTCTCTTTCGAATAATTGAAACTCACTTATTACTTATGTTATTTATCTAGAGGCTAATTGACTTTGAAATCAAGCTATTTCATTAAAATCTTGTATATTAATAGAAATATTTTTTAATGCCTTTTTTGTGTCTTTTTTAAAACATTGCTAGCATAGTTTGTATTTCTTACTCACTTCTTATTTATTTTCTCCTCATTACCAACCTATTCCTCATTAATTCCCAACCTATTCCGGATTCATTCCCAACCAATCCCTTATACACTCCCAACTTCTTGCCCAATCACTTACCCTTTCGGTTCTGGAGCTCGGCAATCTTCTCCGCTGGGGGATTCTCCTTTTCGATGACGTGCTGCAGGTTGTCGATGAGAACAATCCGGGAAAGATTGGCAGCGCGAATGTGACGCTCGGCGGCGGCCAGGACTTGGGGTTTCAAGAGATAGTCCACCTCCTGCTTGACCTCCTTCCACAGCTGGCCATCTGCAAAACCAAAAAAGTGATTAGCTATTGGGTCTGCAGCTCATCTAAATTGTACTAACCGTATTTGGACTGCAGCTCATCGGCCATTCGCTTATCCTTGTCGGTCTGGACCACAATGCGCCACACCTGGGCGCCATCGTAGCGTCGCAGATGGGCATTGAACGGGGACTCCTCCTCCGTCTTGGGCAGATCCGAGTCCGATGGCTGCTGCTGCAGGAACGAGGCGTTGACGTAGTTCAGGACACTGTCCTGCACCTGGACGGGCTGTATGGGCACCTGGACTTGGGGCACCACCTGGGGTATGATGGTGGTCAGCAGGGAGGACTCCACGGGCTTGGTTTCCTTCTCCGCCTGCTGCACTTCCTTCTCCACTTCGGGCTCGGTTTGGGTAGAATCGGCTTGGATTTCATCTTGGGTTTTCTCTGGGTTCTCAGCAGGGGCATCTGCGGCGATTTCGGCTGGGATTTCAGCTGGGATTTCGGCAGGGATTTCAGCTGGGGTTTCAGCTGGGATTTCAGCTGGGATTTCAGCTGGGATTTCAGCTGGGATTTCAGCTGGGGTTTCCGCAGGGATCTCAGCTGGGATTTCCGCAGGTGTTTCAGCTTGGACTTCAGCTGGAATTTCCGCTTGAACCTCAGCAGGCTTTTCAGCTGGAACATCAGCAGGATTTTCAGCTAGAACATCAGCAGGGATCTCGGCAGGGACTTCAGCATGGGTTTCAGCAGGGATTTCAGCAGGGACTTCGGATTTGATTTCATCAGGGCTTACAACGGCTATAGCTGGGGCAAAACTGGGCTCTGCTGGCTCTTCAGCTGGAGTTTCCTCGGGCTTCACCTCATTGATGGCGGGCTGAATCTCGGCATCATTCTGGGCTTCCTCCTCCTCCGGCTTGGATTCTCCTGCGGGCTTGGCCTCCTCCTCCGGCTGCGATTCCTCCTCAGGCTTGGTTTTCTCGGGGATCTCAGCTGGAGCTTGCTGCTCTGGGGCGATCTCGACTGGCTCGGCATTCGAGGACTGGGCAATCTCCTCCTCTGGCTCATCGGCCAAGGCGAGTGGCTCGGGTTCCTTTTCTTTTTGCTGCTCGACCTCGGGAATCGCCTGCTCCTCGGTGGCTTCTGTAACTGGCGACAGCTCATCATCGTTTTCCTGTTCCTGTTCCTGCTCCTTGTTCTCAGTGGCCTCGGCCAATTCTTCGGGCACCAGGTTGTCCATGGCGGCGGTGAGTCCATCTTCAATGCCCTCGACCAGGGTTTCCATCAGAGAGGCCTCCGTGGTGTCCACCTCGTTATCGCTGGCCTTCTCAGCTTCGGTTTCTTTTTCTGGCTGGGATTCAGTTTCAGGTTGGGCTTCCACTTCTGGTTGGGCTTCCACTTCAGGTTGGGTTTCCACTTCGGGTTGTGTTTCCACTTCAGGTTGGGTCTCCACTTCAGGTTGGGTCTCCACTTCAGGCTGGGATTCCACTTCAGGCTGGGATTCCACTTCAGGTTGGGTTTCCACTTCAGGCTGGGCTTCCACTTCAGGTTGAGCTTCCACTATTGGCTGGGCTTGAACGTCTGGTTGAGATTCAGCTTCTGGCTTGGCTTCCACTTCTGGCTGGGATTCAGCCTCAGGCTGGGTTTCCTCTTCAGGCTTGGACTCAACTGCTGGTTGGGCTTCGGCTTCTGGTTGGGACTCGATCTCCGGTTTCTTCTCCTCCTGATCATCAGCGTCGTTTTCTGGCTGGGATTCTTCAGGCTGAACTTGTTCTGGCTGGGCTTCCGATTCCTCGGGCACCTGATCATCCATGGCCGTTTCGGATTCCTTCTCGGACTCCTCCACCGCACTCTCGGTGGCAGCCGGGGACTGGACATCCTCTGACAGATCGTCGTGGAGGGGAACTGGTGCCGCCTCGGTGGCCAAGTCCACAGCTTGCTCCAGCTGAACCTCCTGGCTGAGGGGCTTCATCAGCACCACATGCTCCTCAATGGACTCGGGCTGCTGGTGATCGCCCTCCGCATCGTGCTCCGTCTCTGGCTGGGATTCGGCCACGGTGATGTCGCTGGGCAGTTCCACTAGCTGCATGGCTGGACTGGCATCGCTCTCCAGCATCAGCATGTCGGAGGCGGAGGAGGAGCTGGAGCCGGAGGGATCCGACTCGGGATCGGCTTCGATGGAGTTGCGATTGACATGCTCGGTGTCTTCCAGTTGGCTGGCCACCGTTTCGGGCACCAGCATATACATGTCCGAGGAGTCGGCGGAGGGAATCGAGGTGAGTCTCATGTCGTCCACGAGGACATCATGCTGTTGCTGCTGCTGCTGGGACTGATCCGCCGGCAGCTCGTTCCTCTCGAGCGCCAGACGATCCAGCGACATGGAGGCCGCCTGAGCGAAGCCAAGGATTAGGAGCAGAGAGCCGATGGTGACCATTGTTTTGGGGGAAATCCCCTCGTTGGCAGCGCTGCCACGCGATCTCGCGTTGTACATCTTAGCGGGATCTGACTGTGAACCGTAATGAGACATGTCCCATTGGTGGAGTGGCGCTTTTATACCAACGCTGGGAAAGTATTGCCATTTCATTTTCGATATTTCTCTCGTCGCTCTGCCGCAGTCGGCGTCGCTGCCCGCTTACACTGGCCAGCAAAGAGTGGAACTTGTTATGTATGTTAATGTCTCCAGTGTCCGAAGCTCGTGGCTCTCTTCCTTGTGAGAGGCCAGCAGTCCGGCAGTTCAGCAGTTGTGGTCTCTTTTGTTAATACCCCCAAACCACCTCTCCAACCTCGCCCCCCCCGCCCCCGCCCCCCGCTAGCAAATGTCATCGGCATAACCATAACCGTATCGCCCAGCATTTCTTCCATCTTCGATCCCACATTTCCATATCGACGGGTCACCCGCTCTCGCTTTCTTTCGGGATCAATGCAAAGCATAACCAGAAATTAATAAACAAAATTCATACAGTGCTATAACAGATCAAAACTCAAGATAAGGCCAGGCATCCCCTCATAATATCGTCAAAAATTAAATACATTTTTATCACATTTTAGAAACTAGCCCAAATCTATAACTATAACTATGGCATTTTCAAATTATATCTTAGATGGACAAATTATTTTAATCGAATTTATTTGCTAAGGATTAGCCGTTTGCGTTTCGTTTTTAACTATATCAGTACGATTTAATGCCTGCTCCAAAAATAATTTGAAAATTACTTTTTCATATGTCATTAAAGAAAAAGCTTTGAATGACATAATTTTATGGATTTAATGGATTTTATGGATGGTTTAAATCTTCCAAAAATATTTAAAAACTAATTTTTTGTGTAGGTCTGAATGCATTCTCAAACAATAATTTAAATAAAATTTTTAATGATGTTATTTACAATAAATTATATTAAAAATTATCAGTAACATTTATCTATAAAATAATAAGAGTAGAATTTTTATAAAACATTATCCAAAACTAGGATGACATTGAATTTTTATATTGTTCAAATATAACAAAGCTATTAGTAAGTTGATCTGATGCAGAAGAAAGAGCTTGTTTTACATTTCCGTAAATAACTTTTTCTCATTTAAATGTTTATAAATAATAAATGTAGCTCTCTGTGAGTGCCATCAAGTGTCACAATTATCGACTGCTCGACTTTCTATATGCACAGCAATTCATTCTGAAGCTCCATATCTCCATATCGATCTCGATCTGAATCGCTGAATCAGCGGGAGCCTCAATTGATAATCGATGTCAATTGGCAATTGCGTGTTAACTGCAGTTATTGTCATTGGAATCGGTGCTGGACATGTTAATGGATATATTTATGTACATATATCTGTATAGATTTATTTAACGAGTGCGTCCTGCTGCACCCGTGATTTCTCAGATTTGGCACACGAAATCACACACAGATCTTCTTATTTTTTTTTTGTGTTGTGTTGGCGCGCTTAAAAGTTTCCAATTTGCTCATTGACATGATTTCTGAATAAGTTGCTCTGCCGCTCTGTTTTTTTTTTTTTTATTATTTTGTGTTTCTGACATGTATTTTGTATTGGTATTACCCACGCTCTGCTCTCTAATCAACCGCACCTCGTCAGCGGGCAAACAATTGCCGGTTCCATTGCTGTTGTTACCGCTCCTTTCACTTTATAAGTGGAGTTTATCAAATGACAATTGAGGAAGAGCGAGAGTTCAAGTAATTGCAAAGCGGGCAGCTCAACACACACATCACACATCGAAATGGCCATTGCCTGGGTCAAGTAGTGAAATTGTCCTTAATAGTCCGCCATACGTACTTATAGTTTCTCAATTAATCGACCGACATCTGACGGTTGGCGAGTGCCCACTCTTTAGCTTACTCTTTAGCACCTGACTGCAAATGAATCTAATAGATTCGACAAATTTTCGCGGTTATTGCGCGAATTAGTGCTAATTAATAGGCATTTCCAATTAAATCTTGGTTGAGATTATTGATCTATATAAAGGGAAAACGCCAGACTAGTTTATTTTCATTAAAGTAGTGATTTATTTGTCTTAAGCTTTTATCAGCTTTATATTAGTATAAATGTTCGTTGTCTAAGTCATTCGTTTTCATGTTGAAAAAGGTTTATATTGTTTTTGTTATAAGGTTTTATTATGTACATTTTATTCCACTGACTTTAATTTGTGTTTAAATTTTAAAAATAATAGAATAGTTATAAAATATTTCTTAATAGATTTTTTAAACAGCATAATAATAAGTATGAACTTTGCAATAAAAGATGTAATATTTCTTATTATAATTTAATTTGAAGTTCATTTATTTTCTAATCAACCTAATATATCCTAATTTATAATAACAAATTATTTTAGCAATGCAATGTTCACACATTTCAAGCTGATTTCAAAGTGGAAAGTGGCAGCTCCATAAAATTCACAGAAGTATGAATGAAGTGAATGGTGAATGCGAGGTGGAGGTGTACGATGCTTTTCAGGTAGATTCTACTACCAATTCGGTGGAGTGTCGATGAAAGCGAGAGTGGGCAGCAATGTCAGTCAATCGCCGGTGGTTAAAATGCCGAAAAAAGCAACTCCAAAACCGATGCACACAAACACGCACATACACTCAGGTACAGTGGGACAATGGTCGATGGTGGGCGGTAGGGGGAGGGAGCGGGGGCGGTTTCAGTGCCACGAACTTTCTTTCTTCAATATTTCGCTGTTTTTTCCCCCGAGTGTCGAGTGCATTGTTGTTGCTGCTATTGCTGCTGCACGCCCACATCATCCCAATTATCTTCTTACGCTTACGGATAACCATAGTACCACTTGACAGTCGTAAATGTTTGACGAGGGTTGCGGCTGCGCACAGTGGAGTTTACCATGATTGAAAATATTTTGTATCCCCAGTGTTAAGTTTAAACAGCTTAACATTTTATGCACTTGTAAATTATAATTACATGGAAAACTATTTAAATGTGATCTTATTAAAAAACAAACCGTTACCGAACTATGTAGCTTAGGTTTCGTTCAATTTTATTTTATTAGTAAAAAAAAGTTCGTTGCCTAAGTCTTTCGATTTGCTTTTAACTTTTCTGTAAGCTTGGCTCTAATTAAACACATAGTTTGAAAGATATAGATAATTATTACAAATTGCTTTGTTATTTGCCAATAATAAAAAAATTATATTTTAGTTACTTGAAAATGCTAAAAAATATAAAATAAATGTATTATGGCCGAGGAAAACTATTGCATGGAAACTATTTTTCCCTACTTTTTAATAATATTATGGGCATTTAGTTCCACTGTACTGCGGGACATGAAGTTGTCATTGTCGTGTGTAATTTTATTGTACTGCCTGACTGGCTCTGTTTTTCTACTGGCCTGCTCTGCTCTGCCTATCCCTGCAGAGGATAGATGATGGAGGTAGAGAAAGAAACCGCCAAGCGACGACAGGTATTAAGTATTATTATTATTCTCGCAACGCGCACCTTCACGGCTCTTTTTGGCCCATTCCCGTTAAGCTGCCACACCCAAGGAACACCTCCCCTGCACTTTCACATGTCCCCGTGGTCCCCGAACTCATCGAACCTCTTCATCTTTCACGGAGTCTGGAAATGAGATGTGAAGTTGGGCCCCTAAATTTGCAAAGAAAAAAACTACCTCTTTTTCGGAGGGGAACTTTTTGAAATGCTTTACTAAATAATAGTTTTGCGGAGCATGAGAAAACTGTAGAAAATGTTTTCAACTTTCGCTAGTACTTATATTCTGTTCAATGCTTTTGGGCTTAAAATTATTTTTGCCGATTTAAAACTGGCATACTTAAAAATAATTGCGGCTTAATTCTCTAAAAAACTGTGTATCCAACTTGGTTTGTATTTTTGGGTAGTTTTTTTCGACTTCAATGTTTTTGCAAAAAAGTGACCAAAATCTTGCACTTCTAAGCCCATAACTTTTCTTATAGACATCCGATTTCAAAACGGCATACTTTTAAGTGATTGTGGTTTAATTCTCCAAAAAATTGTGTTCTCAGTTTATTTTTTAATTTTTGGTCGATTTTTCGTCATTTCTTTAATTCTCCAAATTCTCGAAAAATGGCTTTGCAGAAAATTTGACCAAAAACTGCACTTCTAAGCCCATAACTTTTCGTACAGACATCCGGTTTTAAAGTGGCATATATCTAAATGATCGTGTTTTGTTTCTCTAAAGAACTGCGTTCACAGTTTATTTTTTAATTTTTTGTCGATTTTTAGTCATTTCTATAAGGGGTTACCTCTTCCAAATTCTCGAAAAATGGCTTTGCAGAAAAGTGACCAAAACCTGCACTTCTAAGCCCATAACTTTTCGTACAGACATCTGATTATAATGTGGCATATCTCTAAATGATTGTGGTTTAATTCTCTAAAAAACTGCGTTCTCAGTTTATTTTTTAATTTTTTGTCGATTTTTAGTCATTTCTATATACCTCTTCCAAATTCTCGAAAAAAGAAAAGTGACCAAAAACTGCACTTCTAAGCCCATAACTTTTCCTACAGACATCCGATTTCAAAGTTGCTTACCTCTGAATGATTGTGGTTGAATTTTCTTAATAATACTCTATAAATATATGGCAATTAAAATACTACTAAATTAAAATAATTTAAATAATTTCCGTGAAGCAGCATTTTTAATGTACAAATTCCTATTATTCGTTTTTCAGATGGAGGAGATCACCGAGGCAGAGGTGGACGCGCCAGCTCTTCCGTTGGCGGAGGACGTCGGCCACTCGGTTAGAAGTTCGCCTGGCAGCCAGGTGAGGGGCCACGCCCACCCGTACAACCAGCCCATCCGGCCGATGGCCAGCTACAGCGAAAAGGCGGTGGGCAGCTCACCCAAACACCTGGTCAGCACCCTGAGTTCGCCCATCGAGCAGATCGCCTGCAGTGTTTCCCGGGAGCATGCGCTCAAGCTGGAGATCGAGCAGCTGCAGGAGCACCTTAAGGACACCGAGGAGCGACTGGCCTCCGTGCGCCTGCAGAGCGACTCGCTGTCGCAGACGCAGCGTGCCCTCCGGGAGCACAATGGCCGGCTGCAGGAGGAGTCCGAAATGCTCAAGCTGGACGTGCAGCACCTGAATGAGTGTGCCAATGTTTTGCGGGCGGAACTGCAGGCGGCTCGAAGGGATCGTGGCGAGGCGCTCCAGCTGCAGCGATCCCTGCGCGAGGAGCTGGAGGAGGCGCACCAGGAGCGCCGGCGGACGGGCGAGGGCAAGGAGAAGGACGGCCGGGTCATCCAGGACCTGCAGCGCCAGTGTCGCGAAATGGAGCGGATACTCATGCGCAAGCATCCGGACTCGGTTTCCGCTCTGATAGGTGCGTTTTGCTCAACCAAAATAATTAAGCAAAAATAAAAATTATGGAAAATATAAGATTGTTAAAGAGAAAGCGTGTAGGAATAATGTTGACCGTGTACTTAAGATTTTGTATGGTTTATCTTATATTTTTTGTTGATAATAATTAGATATTTGGAGTATTTGGCTCTTTTGTATGGTTCTAGTACTACAGTGAAATTGTACTTTAATAGCTTATATTGTTAAAAAATATATATTTTAAACTTGTTTTTTCCCCTAGTGGCTTCCAAGAGTCCGGGCATGTGCCCGCTGAACGACCAGAAGAACGGGAACAGCCGCAAGCTGCTGGAGCAGCGCATCGCCCAGCTGGAATCAGATGCCAAGGAGCAGGATCGCAAGGCGCAGCAGATTCTGGCCAATGTCCAGGCGCGCTTCAATTCGGTGCAGGCCAAATACGAGACGCACATCGCGGATCTGGAGACGCAGGTTCTGAGGTGGGTTCATCATTTTTGGGGCTCCTTAGCTCTGAATCTAATATCTGTACCCATCTTAAATCCCCAGCCTCCAGGAGATCAACACAAAGCTGAACGAGCAGATCGAATCGCAGGTGCGAACCTTGGATCGCTATATGCAAAAGCGCGCTGAAAGATGCTACAACAATTGCACCCAAACGGAGCCACTGGAGCCATTGGATGATGAGCCGCTCGGCAGTGGAGCAATCCCGGGAGGAGTGAGCTCGACCACGATGGGTACCCAAACGCCGTTGGCGAATGGGACGCGGGATCACAGCACCAACACCATTGGCTGCCCCTCGCCGGCGCTCGTTTGCCAGCAGCAGCACCTGCACCACCCACATGGCCACCTCCATCCACATGCACATCCACATGCCCCATCCGCCAGCAGCAGCACCAGCAGCACGGCCAATTCCACGCCAAACACATCCCGTCCGAACTCGAAGCAAAGTGGTGGCCAACGGCGTTCCCCGCTGGTCACCGCCGGTCCCTCCAAGCTGCCCATCTCGCAGTCGGACTCCACGCTCTCGCTGCTCAGCCATGGCGGCGGAGGATCCAAGGAGGAGGCCCAGTTGCTCAGCTCCGTGAGGAGCATGCGCGTGGACTTGGCCATCAAGAACAAGGCGATGCAGCGGCTTACGCGGGAGTTGGATGAATGCAAGAAGACGATACGGAAGCTGCAGCGGGACAGGGACGGTAGTGGCTCCAGCAGCCAGGCAGGTAAGCATCCAGCCCCAAATCCAAATCCTAAATCCACAAGCAAATCCATGAAACCAAACCCATCCCAAAGCCCCCTCTCTAATTTCGGTTGTGTTTGTGTCACTCGGTCGCCGATGGATGGCTGGTAATTTATGGACTTTCTCTGCCCGGTCAGCACGTACACTCGGCTGTTCCCCGCCCCACTGCCCACTCCTCCTCCTCCTCAGCACCTCCTCCACTCCCCCACTCCGCCCCGCCGGAGACCCCTGCCCACTCCGCTTCTAGAGACGGCAAATAAATTGCTGGAATAAATCATTGTACGGCTGTCGACGCTGTCGGCCTTTTGACCACTTTTTGCACTCGTTTCAAACGGCAATTGCAGCGCAACTAAGCGGCTAAGCGGCCAAACGCCACCGACCATCGGCCAATGGCCAAGACAAACACGTTTCGACCAGGCCAAGACGGCTTAACCCTCTGACCATCATGGTGTCGTATGGTGCTTTCTATACAGGATCGTGTTGAGATTTACATTTTTAAGGTCTAATCTACTTTAGTTAACAATTGTTTTGTTGCCAAAATATTTTCCATATATTTTTTCCTAACTCTATATGTTGTTTATTATTTAATTTTTATTTATTTTCTATTCGGCTGTAATAAAGAAATAATATTTTGAAATTTTGTTTAATATATCTAAAATTTAAATCGTACCTATTATTGGTTTGTAGGCAATTTGTTGTTTTAATGGAGAATAGATAATAATAATACCTTAAGAAATGTGGTTATTCATCGAATACTCTTAATTTAAACCAATATATAGTTATTTCGCTGACAAAAGTGGCTGTGTTAGGGTTAAGGCAAGCGTCCGAAATGAAACTGAGTCCACAGACTCGAAGTTGGAGACACCGACCGAGCTACATATGTGGAGGCACGGAGTGAGGTGGGCAGGGGGCCGGGGCGGGAGACCCCATCTCGGGCAGTTGGTTATGTCACCTGTGCGGCCTGCCGCTTGTTTATTTACCTTTTGTCGATTCGGATTTGAATTTCTTGTTGCTATTGCTGTGTGGCTGCGTTGTGGTGGCTGCCATCGAAAAAGAAAATTCGAAAGCGAAAGTCAAAGTCAAAGACGCTGGTTTGTTTTGGCTGCGGGTCGGTGGACGCTGCTGGGGATCGACTTGGATTGGATCAGGTCTTCTGCGGCCCCACCTCTTCTTTCTTTGCCGACGCTCCCCGCCCCTCAAATAAACGTTTTATAATGCCATGACTTGTTAGCCGCCTCTGCCGTTGGCCAAAAGCTCACCGAGGTTTTTATTACTTCTTTTTCTGCGTGTGTAATTTTTGTTGTCGTGTGTTTTGTGCGGTTTTTGTGGCTAATTAATGAGCCATCGTTCCGTCAAATTTGTTTTGTTAATAATTGTAAATGCCAAGAGCGGACGACGGTAACCGTATAAAAAGCATCATCAGCGAATGTTTTAATTTCGTACGCGCGTGTATAAAATGTAAATCGCTCTTCATAACTTTTGGATTATGCAATACGCTTTTTGTGAAAATTTCGTACAAAATTTGGCCAGTCGAAGCTCAATGAACCCCGAATTAGCTTACATAATTAAATATGCGTGTTAGTTGTATTTGATTTCTTCTTATGGATCCCCACTTCCCCTTGAGAAACACAATACTGATTAACATTTTGGTTCTAACATTATGCACATTCTTCTGTGTCCTGCAGGCAGCAAACTGGATCTCCGGTCGCAGGCCAGTGGCGGATCTCTCCAGAGGCGTTCCAGTGGCTACGATCACCACCACCACAGTGACCACATTCCGGCGGCCACCGAAAGTCAGGCTCTGAAGGAGGCCCAAAACAAATATCGCCTGCTGGAGGCCGACTACAAAACGCTTCACGATAAGCGGCTGCAGGATGTGAGTGTTCCTGCTGCCTTCTTTCAAGAACTCTAACTAATGTCCGTTCATGTCCAATTTCAGTTGAAGACCCTGCAGAGCGCCCACGAGAGGGAACTGGCCTCCTGCAACGAGACTGTGCGGATCCTGCAGCAGCGACTCAACGAGCGGGAGGAGGCACTGACCACCCAAAAGCGGCGCAAGGTGCCCGTGGACTACTATGCGCTGAAAGCCAAGGTACAGGAGCCACAGCATAAGACCCCATGAAACAATCAAGATCTATTTCAAGTTCAAGAAAACCAAGAACAAGACAAGTAGAGGTTTGATTGTTCACCCCATTGAACCTCCCAACTAACTAGGCATTTCTTGAACCCCACTTTAAGGTATCACTTTTGGAAAGGCGGCACTCGGAACGGGAGGAGCGTCTACATATGCTGGTGGAAGCCCTGAGCAAAGGACGGCTCAACGGGGCTCTCGAGGATCTGATGCAGGAAAACAATAACAAGTAGTGGAGTTCGAGGTGTTTAAGGGATTATTTAAGACACATTGCCATGTTCAATGCCAGCCAATTTCGACTAGAGTCCGTCTAAGCAGAAAAACATCCAATGATAAATACAATTTTAGCCAGAACAAAAAGCAGGGGTTAGGAACCGGGTTCCCAGGACTTGCTGCCGGGTTGGATTGTGGCTCCAGCAATGGAACTCTAACTGACGCTCCAGCGATTTTCTCAAACCAAATTCAAATGTGTTCAAAATGGAAACAATAAGTGTATCGACAAGTGATCAGTTAACCAACAACTTATATATAGGTTTAAGATTTTTCCCAACAAACAAGCCACAATCTAATCTGGTACTCAAGGTCAATCCAATCCTGGGCCCTTTGTTCATCAAGGATATTTGAAGATACAGAACATGATTAAAGTTATTGTAGTTCTTAGACAAGAAAGTATTTTAAATATCAATGTTTCGATGTAGAAATTGAATGGTTCAAAAAGCGTACACACAACTTAGAGAGAGATAGCGAAAGAAGAACGAAAGAGAGCGAGACAGGTGGAAGAGTCATGGAAATGAAAGAGAAATAGCTTGGGAAATGAAAGTTGTACTAGGAATAAGTATTTTATGTACATAGAATATGGAAGTACAGAAATTCGAAGCGATCTCAATTTAAATATTATATATTTGAGTTAGAAGAAAAGTGCTTTAGGAGCACAATTAATTTTACCCGTGTAACAGTCGATTTTTTTTACCTAACCCAATTATTGTGCGTTTAAGATAGAAAACTTTGAAAAAGTTGAAAAAAACTAAGAACCAGGGACCGTAAATAATGTCTATTTATGTTGTTTCCGTGAAGAAAATCCTCCAAATAGCGTAGACTAATACAAATAACAATTAAACCAATATGCTACCTTTTTGACCACCTATACGTAAAAATTCAAATATGTCAACTCCCTGGGGTATACTGTCAGTTCTATAAGAAGTTAATCAAAGAATACGGATACGTAAGGATGTCTTTTTATTTCTTGTAGTATTGTACAGTATTGCTCTACTATTTATATTTTTAAGAATATTGAATCTAACCCCAGTAATCATTGTATATGACTTTTGGTTGCATTAATATTATTTTTGGATATTTAAAATGAAAAGGTCACCATGATTACTGCGGGGGTTTTCCAAATAATTACGGTCCCTGCTAAGAACCGAACAGAATAGAATAGATCTCCCATTAAACAACTCAAGCAGGCGGACAACTAAGACAAAAATCAAATAAAAATTCACAGTATTCCAATACAGATCCCATATGATATATATATATATTGATATATATAGCCAAAAAAGTATACTTCTCAACCTAATCACTGCCTATTGGATATGTTTGATTCGCATGCGTTTGGCATCGCTGGTTCCTCGATTTTCAGAGGCTCTCGTTGTTCCGGTATTACGTCGCAGCACCAAAAGCGCGTCCAGCTGAGTCGCTATAAGTTGTACCTTCAACGCTTGAAAACAGCCAGCAGTTTGGTGGACCAGCAACCGCCTCTGCTGAATGCCAAGGCATTGGGCGGATTGGATGTCCTGCAGCAGGATGCCCGTAACTTTCTGGACCGGACAAACGAAAATGTTCGCCTGCTTTTGAATCTGGCGAAAATTAAGCGCACCGGTGGCACCATTGTCTTGGAGGGTCCACCTTTACTATCCCGATCGGCCCTGCCACACATGCAGCGCAGGTTGGATCAGCTTCAGCACCAGAACATGCTGTTTGGTCGCCGGCTGATGCGGATCCACGACCGGAAGCGGGTAACTGGCCAGCGGGAGAGACCGAGCGGACAATCGCAGATCAGTGGCGGCGGACGGTGTCCCAGTGTGATGACCAATCGATCCACACTGGCCGAGAGCGAGGTGTTCGCCAAGTACAATGCCTGGGATCTGGAGCTGCCCTACGATAATTACGAGCAGATGAGGCTACTCCGTCCTAGGATTGTCCTGCATTTTGGCCTGATGGACGGCAGGCCATTGGGCCAGGTGGTGGTGCAGCTGTACACGGAGGCGGCGCCACTGGTGGTGCTGCAGTTCGTCCGCAGCTGTCTAGCTCAGAGGTCGCATGAGTTCGCCGTGCGCCGGATCTTTCCGCATCTCTGGCTGGAGTGCTATTTGCTGGGCAGCTGCCGGAATCCAGCGAGTGATACTCCCTCTTTGAGCGATCCCATGGAGTTCGATACACGCGTGCTGAGTCATGGACGCTATGGTTACGTCTTCTCCTGCGCCAAGGAGTACTGCGTCCATGGATTCCCCGGTGGGGCCATCAACTTTAGCATCAGTTTCAAGCCCCTGCCGGTGGCCAAAGGTCAGCGGGTGGGCTTTGGTCGAGTGATACGCGGCGACAAGGTCATCGAGTGCATGCAAGCCTATGGAACAAAAAACGGCAAGATCAGCCGGCCACTACTCATAACCCACTGCGATATGCTTTAGGAGATCAAGGGGTTTTTGGGGTGCTTCTGGACTTATCCAGCTGAGATTTTCATCTGATATTGGATGTTTTTCTGCTGACTAAAATCAGAAGCCCTTCAAATGCTCCTTGAAGGTAAAGTATTGATAAAAACCTGAGATTTTGCTTCCGAAGAACAAAGAAATGCGGCGTTCAAAAAACTGTTAATAAAAACATGTTTCCTGTCAAATATTTTATAAGTATGGATTCCAAAAGACCCCCCACCAATAATAAATCATATTTAATTTTGCTCAACGTTTGGTTAAAGTACGAGTACAATTTATTTAGCATTTGGTTAGAAATAAGAATGGATGGATAACTACCGATGTTTCGGGCGATCCCCATAAACGAACATTATAATCATATGTGCTTCTTGTATCGTGCATTCAAGCATACGGATTACGGATTATTATTCTTAACATTATAGTTTTCCACGTGGGATTAGTATAGAAGTTGCATACATATATACGAGTAGTTTTATGGATAGACGAGTAAGAGAAGAAGCTACTCAAATCTTTCAGCTCCATGACAATACGATCCCAAACAACAGCAACATTTAACTGGCTAAGTTTAACAGTGATTACGTTAAGAGTAGTGGTCTACGGATACAATACCATTTTGGTTAATGTGAATATGATGCAGATATAACGATTATAACTAGACTGTTTGGCTAATACGCAGCTGATACTTAGTTAAGCGATATTCTTAGGGCTTAGTTGGGTTACTCCGCTTGTTGTTGTTGAGGATGTTCGGCTGGTTTCCTGGGGTCCATCCTTGAAGCCGCCGGTTCCGAGGCTAACCGGAACTTGGGGGACCGCTCTACTCCGGACTATATCGCCAACTGACAGCTCCGCGAACTGCTAACGCCTGCTTTTATACTCGGAGTGGTTTTACGGTCATGTCCGGACACAGTTGCCAAGTCGATGCGCAATTTTACGCCCTGATGACCATCTAAGGAGCCACAGGAGTATCCTCAATTATTGGGTTAGCTCCTTTTGCTCGATGCACTCTAATTTGATTTTGATTGAATTGCGCTTATCGCAGTTGTGCACTCGCCTCGTGAAAAGTGGAGTTCAGCATCCCCTGTATGTACATCCATGTATTCCCCTTATTGACGTCACGGGTGCTTAACGAGTTTCGCAAATCGATTCCCTACTTTATTTATCCCTTGTGACGTCACGGGCTTGGCAATTTTCATTCATGGGAAAATGGGAACAGGCGGCCGCGCATTAGGCCCACCCGATTGGACAGCGGCGTCTGCGCCACTTGTCCGTCGTCTTCTTGGTGGTGCAGTGGTGCACATGTGCGATAAGCGGAATTCAATCAATCAGCACCACAAATTGGTAGCAGGAAGTGTTAACGTGGGTGTTGGCCATTAAATTCTAGGCCGGATTCTGCTATAAAAGTGGCGACAGTCCTCTAGCCAAGTCATTCCAGTTGAGGAGCCTGCTGGTGAAACAGCAGCGAACTGAGTCTTCGAACTTCTTCTTGTGTACCTGAAGTCAAAGTACCCACCACCAAAGCACCGATGATGATGAGGCTTCGGCTCAGCGTCCTGCTCCTGCTGCTCCACCTTGGCTGTCTGACTTTGGCATTGGCCAGCAGTAGGACATCCTGCGGTAGTTCCATCTGCGGTGGTCGCCGCTGGGATGTGCATCATCGGCAGGACGACTACGACGAGCATATGGTCTACAGACAGCGGACAGAGCCAGTTAAGTCAATGGGCCGCGATGATCCTGGGAACGAAAGGCACGAGGAAACGAGGGTCAGGTTCGACTCGACCCCTCGCCTGGAGCCACGTCAAGTTGATGAGGAGCGTGTAGAACAGCGCGAATCTCGTGAGGAGCGAGTAGAGCGACGTGAAACTCGTGAGGAGCGAGTGCAGCCAAGGGAAGATCGTGATGAACATGTAGATCCACGCCAAGCTCGTGAGGAGCGGGTACAACCACGTGAAACTCGAGAAGAACGAGAAGAGCGACGTGATGCTCGGAAAGAGAGAGTACAGCGAAGTGAAGCTCGCGATGAACGAGTACAGCGAAGTGAAACTCGCGATGAACGAGTCGAGCGAAGTGAAGTTCGTGATAGGCAAGTACAGCAACGTGAAGCTCGTGAACAGCGTGTAGAGCGTCGAGAAGTTCGTGAGAAGCGAGTAGAGAGACGTGAGACTCGGGATGAACGAGTACAACAACGTGAAGCCCGTGAGGAACGCCTAAAACCACTTGAGGCTCGTGAAAATCGTGAAGATGGTGCGGAGCGACGTGAGGTTCGTGAAGAGCGGCGAGAAACGCGGGATGCTCGCAATGAACCTCGTGAAGCCCGAAAGGAAAGGGTAGAACGACAGGAAGATCGAGAATTCAGCAAGCGACAGGTCGAAACTCGTCGAGAATCAGTCGAGAGACTAGGCGAACGTCGGGAAGAACGCGAAATTTCCAGACGTGAACAACGCGATAGCCGTATCTTGTCTCGCGATAATCATCGTGACGACAGAACTAGCGCAGAAACGGAATTCTCCAGGCGTATGGAACGGGAACCTGTAGAGCGAGCTGAACGAGAATCTGAGCAGCGAATGGAGCGAGACAATCTTCGACTAACAGAGCGTGAAACTCGCGAACGAGTGGAACAACCAGAAGAACGACGTGTGGAACGAGGCTCCTCCAGACGCGAAGAGCGAGAGAACCGCGTTCGATTTGAAGTTCGTCGATTGGATGAAATTAGGCAAGAGCGAGACAACTCTCGACAGAGCTCAAGGCGCGATAGTCTCCGCAGGGAAGAGCGCGACAATGATCGTCGAGAGGAACGGCGCGAGGAGCGAGAGTCAAAGAGGCGTGAGGAGCGCGAGGAAAGGCGTAGCGACGAAGGTCTTGATAGGTACAATATGCGGCGAGTGGAGCGTGAAATGAATGATGCCAAGATGTCACGACAGGAAAAACGCATCAATGAGTCCACTGATAGGAATATGTTCAGGCGACAAGCTGAAAGGGAATCCCGCCGAAGTGATCGTGCTGTAGAGCGAGACAATCTCCAAAGGGAGCGAGAAGAAGCCAGGCGAACAGAGATGCGCAGCGATGCACGCAGACAAGAACGCGAAGTTGACCGAAGGGAAGAACGTGTTGCAGAGCGCCGTGTAGCAGAGCGCCGTGTAGCAACGGCCAGTCGCGTAGATCGTGAATCTCGTGATGAAAGTGAAGAACAACAAGTGGGGCGAGAAAACCTAAGGAGAGAGGAGCGCGAGGATACTCGACGTGTGGAACGCAGGGAAGACCGAGAAGAAAAGCGCGAAAATGCACCAGTGAGTGAGCGACGAGAGGAACGAGAAGACACTCGCCGAGTAGATCGTAATAACCTAAGAAGGGTAGAATCAGAAACTGAAAGAAGAGAGGAACGAGAAGAAGATCGTCGAGTTGAGCAAGTAAATTTCCGGAAAGAGGAGGCAGTACAACAACAAAGGGAGCTTATTCGCAGGGAAGAGCGAGTAATTCAACGGGAAGAGCGGGAAGTTCAAAGGCGTGAGGATCGAGTGGATTCCCAGCGAGTGGGACGTGAATTTTCCCGGCGCGAGATTCGTGAGCCTTCCGAGGAGCGAGTACTCCTTACAAGCCAGGTGAAAACGAAGGGCTGGTTGAGCTATGGAAAACGCGAGCTGCTGATGACTGGACAGGTTCTCCTCCTGGCCGCTCTCTACAAAAAGTCGACGGCCAGTGGCAAGGGTCTTGGGTAAGCAATTACTGGTATTCCCCCTCAATATGTCTTAACTAATCAACTTACTCCTTAGCAATTCTTTGAGTGAACAGATTCAGGGCTATCTGCAGGCCATCGGCTGCTAAGCTGGTCAAAGAAAATCGATCCCCCCTTCCCTAAATTGTTAGAACCAAAATGAATAAATGGATATGGATCAAGGCAAAACGGCATGACTAACCCCGGAAAATGCAAACGGACCCGAAAGCGAGCGACGAGCAGAAGGATGGGACAGGATGCTTCGCCGGAGCATTGTACAATTTAATCCAACTGTTACTGTAACCAAAACACCCTCCTGTTATAGCCAACAAAAGCATAACGAAAATATATGATGGGATGCTCGAGTAGCCGAGCATCTGCAAACTGCATTGCAATCCGTGAGTTTCGATTCCCAGCCAGTTTGGTGGGTCATCCCGTCCACCCCTGGATAATTGGAGCGTTCGCATCCGAGGGACCGCAACTGTCCACTCACATGGCTGGGCATCCTTGGATGCCGGGATCCTTGAGCCAGAAAACACATGCACGAGGTTTTTGCCAACCGCCCCCATCCAATCCACCTTCTTTTTGGATGCCACAGAAACCGAAACCGAAGCTGAAAGGCAAAATTATTATTGCGATTTTCCATGCCGTTTGCCTTCGTCCTTGCAGCATGGCTCCTGAATATCCTTTCTCCCGCTCAGCATGTGTGTGTGTGTGTGTATCGAGGCTGATAAATTTCGCACATATTAGATGTTGGTCTGGTCTATTCATCTTTTTGGCTTTCAAGAGATTTCCCCTGATGGGGCCAACAGCAGCAGCAGCAGCAGCAGCAGCAGAGGCAGCAGTTTTTGGGGGGCCGACAACCAGCCAGTAAGCCATCCTTAATCAGTGAAACCAACACACAAATTTTACACAATTTTCATCTTTTGGGGATTATTCTGGGGTGTGGACTGTGTGGACTGGAGTGTGTGTCTGCTGGAGTGCGCACTCGTATCCGCATTTGTGTGGGAATATCCCTGCCGTGTCTGAGCTGGTTCCGACTTGCTTTACTTACTCTTACCCAGAAATACGAATTTTATTGGTCGGTATTCAAAATGTGAAGAGTGCACACAGAGATAAAATCAAGCATTTCGTACTTGAAACATTGAATTCTGAACGACTTAAGCTGTTAATTTCAAAAAGGCAAGACCAATCAGAAGACTGTTCTGTGTTAGGGATTTCCAGGAACAAAGAATGCTGTTTTGGATATCAAAAGTGGATAAATATCGAAAAATCTCTTACCAAGATAGCATGATGAAAGTAAGACTAAAGATAAGCTTCAAAGTGTTTCATGTTTTATTTTATAAGTATATCCTGTCTAAAGCTGGCCTCAAAAGGCCAGTTTCGGTTTATAAATCTCACTGACTTGAACTTTTTATTTTAATTTTGTTCATTAATATCAAAAAGATATTTATGAATTCAATGGTAGTTTTATTTTATTTTTTGTGAAAAATCAAACTATATTTCAAAAGGAGCTTAGTTTTTAATAATGCCAAACGTGAAACTTTTAAATACTTAATTGCTGTTTTCGTCAAAAACGGGCATCATTATTGGCCAGTCATTCTGTGCTGAAAAGGGGGATATTTTTCCGGCAGAAAAGAATTAAATACACATCCGGTCTAAAGCTAACCTGAAACATACCCTTTGTGCTGATATATTCACTAGCCCAGCGGATTTTATTTTCTTGCTCTATTTTCTTTTTTTTTGTGCCATCTCCCGCTGAGGTTATTCATGGGGATTTTCATGAAGGATTTAAATTCAATGCGAATTCTTCTTATATTTTTTTTTTGGCCACGGAAGTGTGAAATATCAATACGCAATGTCTCTGGCAAACAGAGCGGTTTGCAGATGGGGGATTGTGTGGCCGGGCCAAGTTATGCGATATGAAAGCGCCACAAAAGACCAATAAACCAACGGGAAAACATCATAAAAAATTGAGTTTTCAATATTTATACGAATTAAATAATTCACAGGCATTGGCCAGGCCAAAGAGGAGCCACCAAACACCCGGATTCGGATGCGGATACGGATACCTATGGAGCGGCGCACACAGAAATATATACTGAGGGCTAGGCAAGGCGGAAGGGCTCTGGAAAACAAGGAGTTCGAGGCTGGTGACTCTGGTGGCTGGGTGGCTGGGTGGATGGGGTGTTGGGCATTTTACGAGTATTTGAGGTTTATTTTATGCCCCCACCAAGAGCACACACACTCGCCCGAATGCAAAACAACATAAATTCTGTGTCAGAAATCATAAATTTCAATAAAATAAAAGCAGCGAAGCGCCAAATAAATACGTGGGGTAGAAGTTTGGCGGTTTGGGAGTGCTAACTTAAGAGGGTGAGGCCATAGAGCACAAATTTACAGCTGTGGTCAACCAAATATATAGAGTAACGAGTACTTTCAAGCTTTTAAAGCAACTCAAAAGAAAAATATAACCAAAGAAGAGTTATTTTATATTTTATAAATAGTTGTGTTGTCAAGTGATTTTATTTAGCAGCTTGTGCAGATATTAAATAGGTTTTTTGAAAACGATTTTACTATTTCCATTCCATTATCACAGTTTTATTGTGAGAAATCTATAAAAATTCTCCAGACAACTAAAATTTATTTCTATGGTTTCGTTATTTTATAATCATTTATTTTTGTGAATTGATAATTTTTTGGTTGATACGTTACTAGCAGAGTAAAATATTAGACGACGAATTACAAAAACCTATTAATTACTTTTGAAATATTTGTATTATCTTGACCACAACTGTAGATATGTGTGTGAGTTTCCACGCTTCACTTGGCTAAGTAAAAGCAACAGCCAAGTGCAAAATATATTTCCTTTAAAGCGGGTGAGAAAAAGCAAAAATGAATCGAAAGACACAAAAGGAAAAAGTCCTTGGAAAAAGTGTGTGTGTGTGTGTGTGTGCGAGTGTGTTTTGCATAATTTAATGTATGACTGGGGAGGTGGACGAGGGACCAAGGATGCAGGATACCCGCCATAAAGTGGCCACCAGGCTGCCGCAGGATGCTTTCTATCAAGTCAAGGTAACGGCCGAAACTTGAGAAATATTTCATGAGGCGAACGCGGCAAATGTGTTGCAGCATACACCACTAAAAAGGTGGCCAAATGGCTGCCTACTTCGCTTTTTTCCACCTGTTTTCCTCTTTTCGGCTTTTCTTTGCCATTTGCCAGCAATTTTATAAATTATCAATTTCACTCGCCCGACAGAAAGGCTAAAAAGCAAAGCAAAGAGATGGCATAAAATCGAGGAGGGCGTGCGCACAAAATAAATAAATGCAATAAGCGAAGGCAAATGGAAAATTGTGAAATTGGGGAAAATTGGAAAACCGCAGAAATTGCAATCGAAAATCCGCCACAAGTTGCCATTAAATGTCAATCGACGGAAGGGGGTGGGGGGGGGGTTGTAGGGAAATGTGCAGTTAAATAAAAATCAAAGCGGTTTACGTTATCAGCCAGCAATGCTGCTGCCAGTCGAAGAAGTTGCGTTGACAGAATTTTCCCACCGCCTTTCCACTTTCTACTTTCTTTTTCCCATCGCCATCCGCCCTCGGGGCCATCTGCATTTGGTGGCGGAGCAAATGCGAAATTGGTTTATGCAACAGACTTTTATGGTGCTGATCAGGAGACGAGCGCCGAGCATCGTGCATCGAGCATCGAGCATTTGCCAAATGCCAAACTCCGAGTGACGGAGCCCCGGATTTTCCAAATGTCAGCCCAGTGCATTCAGAAAAAAGGGTTCTCTTGAAAGTATCTTCAAAGTTTGCAGATTTTTGCGAGCTCCCAAAGAACAGTATCAATGAATAAAGCTATACGAAGTAAATTGCATTCAGCATAGTTTACCAAGACTTATCATTTAACCCTAGTTGCTTTTACATTAAATAGTTTCTTCAAAAAAAAATTAATAGTTTTTAATCCTTAGCATTAGCTTCTGAAACATTAAGACTATGAATTCAAAATCTTCTCTTATCTTCTTAATTTATAAACACATTTAAGCAAATAAAATAGTAAAAGTTCCAGCTAGTTTTTAACTTCAAAAAAATATTTGCACATTTATTATTTTCAATGTGAAGAAATAAATAATATATTATAAATAAATAACTGGCTTCCATTAATGTTTAAGGCTTGTAGTTAAATTCTATATTAGAGCGATTGTTTCTTAAAGTAGGTGCTAAATTTAATTATTTAAGAAATTGGTTATTTTTATTTTGTGGCTGAATATTAAGTTGCATATTCAGTGCTTAAGCCCAGAATACATTTTTATCAACAATAATATTATTTACAATCTCATTTAGACTTAGAAAATATGGTTCTCTATAATGTAATTTATTTCTTTTCAATGTAATACAAATAAAGTGAATAGAGTATTTTCTAAGCCCAATTACATTTTTTTGAAGTGTAGATTTGGAACTGGTTGAAGGTTGGGGGCTGTGCAATGCCAGCATCAATCGCAGTTGTGCAAATAAATTTGCCGTTCACGTACATGAAAGCCGCTTGCACAAGCATGCAATCATCCTCAAATATTGTCCCAATCCGAATCCCAATTGCAGCCCGTCTCCTGGATTTTGGATTCCTGGCAGCCCGGTGCGATTGAAAGGCGACCGCATTGAGGACTCCGATTCGGGCTTGGATTTGGGTTTGGACTTGGATTCGGATAGGCGCAGGTAGCCATCCTCTCACCTGTTCGATGGCCACAATACCAATGATGACATTTGCTTGGGTTGAGCTGAGTTTTATGGGATTTTGGATATTTATACCCTTGCAGAGGGTATTATAATTTTGGTCAAAAGTGTGCAACGCAGTGAAGGAGACATCTCCGACCCTATAAAGTATATATATTCTTGATCAGGATCACCTCCTGAGTTGATATAGCCATGTCCGTCTGTCCGTCTGTCCGTCTGTCCGTCTGTCCGTCTGTCCGTCTGTCCGTCTGTCCGTCTGTCTGTTTCTACGCGAACTAGTCTCTCAGTTTTAAAGATATCGAATTCAAACTTTGCACACACCCTTCTTTCCTTTGCACGCAGTATATAAGTCGGAACGGCCGGGATCGGCCGGCTATATCCTATAGCTGCCATATAACTGATTGATCGGAAATGCCATAACTTTGGTGTTTGTCAAGTTAGGAAGTTGGGATTTTCTATGGGTTTTATATTTTGCCAATCAATCCGACATACCAAATTTCATAAAAATCGGCCGACTATATCCTATAGCTGCCATATAACTGATTGATCGGAAATGCCATAACTTTGGTGTTTGTAAAGTTAGGAAGTTGGGATTTCCTATGGGTGTTATATTTGGCCAGCCAATCCGACCTACCAAATTTCATAAGGATCGGCCGACTATATC